GTACAGCTGAATGCTTTAGTCAGAGATAACGCTGATCTCAGGTCAGTTCGATCCCTTAAAGATTAATTTGCTTAAATTTCATTTTTTTAAAATTTTTTGTAATAAGCATGTCGTATGAATTTACTATTTAAAATTATTCCAAAATGACATGTGTATTGGTTATAACATGTAGTTCTTCACCAATAAGTTGCACATGGTTTACTTCGGTACTAGTTTTAGGATAACATGCGAACATATTTCTTTTTTTCCTCTAATAACAAACCGTTAAGCTGAATTAAAATGACTGAAACCAACAAAGACTTTAATTACTTATGTTTTATCTCTTTTTGTAACTTTTGAAATTCTCCATTCTAAATTTGCAAACTTCTATAAAATATATTCGAAATAGTAAAACAAATTTTCAATATATGGAAACATTTTTGTTTTATACTTTTAAATAGTTAAGATATAGAAACCAAAATCAAACCAAGCATGATGGATGGTTGGTTTGCTTGTTTCTTTGTTCTTTTGGGTGTGAAACATTTACACTATGTTTGCTAAAAAGGAGGGGAAATGGAATGAAGGGAAAAAAACGAGGAAAAAATGGTGAAGGGAGGAATGGAAGTTATTTCTCCTTCACTGTATTTGGCAAGAATATAGAGGGGAAGAAAGAGATTTTGGATAAAGTTGTAATTAAAATTGTTAAGAAATGAGTGTTTTCCTCTTACATTTGGATGGATTGAATTTGGAGGGAACGGGAAGGTACAAATCCACTCATTTTCCTTCTATTTTCCTCTTAGTAAATGACAGAACCGTTGGAAAGAAAGTATTAGGCTTTGCCCGGTAAGAAGGAATGATAAGGATGAGAATATTTAATAAAAACCAATTCATTCTTGAAGGTGATGAAAGCTGATAAGGATGCATCTTCTTGTATTTACGCAATGTGCATATGCATCTTGTATTTATGATTGCATAGCATTGTATCCAATAATTGTATGCATATCATGTGTAAGGAGAAGCCACCATGGTTAGAATGTAAAACTATGAGTCGAGTCAACATCCATGCAAACCATTCCATTGGGCTAACTGAATGAAATCTGTAATGGCTTTTATTGCTGATTAAAGTACGTACATTTTGAAAAATTGCTGGTCCGTAAAATCTTGTTTGTGGGATTTATCTACGTCTGGCTGGTGATAATTGGCATTATAATTTTCAGGTGGAAAATTGAAAAAGTTTTGGAGAGCCAGACATCAATGGAGAATAAGTTCATGGCGGTATTTGTTGTAACTTTAGTTTTCGGATTGTTTGCTATTGTGAGGCTATTGGTAGATATGTTGTTGAGCATTTACAAGTCATTTATTAGTGTTCAAAGAACGGAGAAGCCATGGAAATTTTGGTCTTGTAGCTCTTCCTGGCTCTTCTTGCTATGCAGTTGTAGCATAATCATTTTTATATTATCTATTTAAGTATATATGTTTTATGGTTGCATTTACATTTGGGAATTTGGATTGGATTGGATTTTCTTGTTTAATCCTAATGCATTCATGTGCTTTGCAACAAGGGATTCATAGGTTTAGTTGAGAATTCTATATGTTAGTGTTGAACTGATTCTAATTTATGATGTTTTATTTTGGGAAATTATTCCCAGCCAATCAGCCCTAACAAGTATCAAGTCCACCTGGCCCTCGCTGCATACGGCGTCAAACGGGTGGATGAGAGGGATTTAGAATAACAAAATAAATTTAAGGGTAAACTACACAGGTGGTCCCTTATGTTTTTTTTTCTATTTGATTTTGGTCACTGGGTCAAAAAAATTGGTTTTGGTCTCTTATTTTATCAATTTATTATATTTTGGTCCACCGGCGATTAACTCTCACTATCCCAGTAACGGAAGTGGGAACTGGAGTGTCACTTGACAATTAAAAAAAATTATGTAAGTGACCCAGTTGTAATACACGTGGGCTTGGGAGAATTTTATTCGTCATTAAGTTTTTTAAACGTCATTTATCTGCCAAATTAAGTTAATTAAGTGACTTTAATTAACTTGGAAAAAGAGGAACAGTTAAGGGGCATTTATTTCTATTTGAATCATCTAATCAAAATCGAAAGTAAGCAGCAACCATTTTCTCTCTTGTGAAATACGAAGGGGTTCTTTCTTTTTCTCTCTTTGGGTTTTTTGGGGTGAAATTTGGTGGACTTAAGATCAACTTCAACCTTCTTTTATACTTCCTATTCTCTTCCCCTTTTCTTTTTTCCTATTTTATCATCATTTTGTGGGTAAGAAAAGACTCAATGTGCTCATCCAGAGTGAAAGTATTTAGGTTCTTTGTTTCAACAGTTATTGTCTTCTTTAATCATCAAGACTTTGGTAGATTACAAATAATCTTTCTCACATGTTTCTCATTTGAATTGATTCTTCATGATCTATTGGAGTATTCATTATAATGGTGAATCTATTAGATATTATCTTGACATCTTCATTCGACTTTATCTCGAAGTTTTTATAATTAAGTATACAAAGATCAATTTTTATTTCTATTACCTCGATATTTCTCTTACGAGTAACTTAAAGTTATCACAAATCAAATACACAAAATAAAATGTACATGCTGAAACTTATTCTCATTTTTTTTATACTCTCTCTTTTGTCATAGCAAAATGATTCTTCAATATGATTGTCCCAAACTTCCAAAATCGTTCGCTTGAATGAAGAATTTCATCATATTCTTTCAATAAATATAGTCGGTTCCGTTAAAGTATGAAAACTTAAGTAATCGAAGATGCTGAAAGTATATGTAAAGGCCATAAATGTACTTATTGATGATTGACTCTTCTAGGATCTTATCAAGAGGTTATTGTGTCTTTTAATGAGTGAAGTTCTAATATCAGTTATTGAGCCAATCGATCAAAGAATGTGGTCAAGAGGGGTGAATTGGCTCTTAAAAGATCGGTGGAAGTTTTTGTAAAGTATTAAAAATTCAGACAAGTAAATTAGAGTGGTTCGACTTTTAAACCAAATTTACATCCACTACTTTAGCCTACTCACACTAAGAATTTCACAAATTCACTAATTTATTACATCCATTAAGGATAAAATGTAACCTTATAATATTAATCAAGATTTTATACCTCAAAATCTTGAATATACTCTTTTCCAAAGAGTATACAAACATAAAACAATAGAAAACCCTCACAAGACAAATAATGTGAATAATTTTAACCTACACACATCTGATGACACCGGAACAAAGACTTATAATAAGGAACAAAATTAAAATTAGCCGACCCTTTTTCCCATATGTAATGGGATAATGGGGTAAGGGGAGGTATGATAGTAGGCTGCCCAACACCAGGTTGAGAGTAACTTCCGTGGTGGAACTCCGAATTATGAATTGCCCTCCATGGGACTCGATCCCACGACTACAAGGTTAAGAGCCTTGTGCTCTACCAACTGAGCTGGACGGGCATCTCTTATAATAAGGAACAAGCTAGTGCTAAAAAAGAAAGATAGAAAACTGACCACAAATGGAGATTTTAGCTCTAGGATGTTTAAAATTGATTTCTTGATGTTTATTGGCTGTTGCAAGACCCATTTTATAAGCTATAATTGTTTTTTAGCCGTTTAGATGAGTTGGAAGGATTTTGTAGCCGCTGAGAACATTAAATTCTGGTATTTAATGACCACCTGCTAGGAGGTTTCAAAGCTTCTCAAGGAGTATAAAAATTCCTCGAGCGAATTATAAAAAGCACGACCATCGGAGCTCAAAGTATTGAAAGTTATATGGAAATTTTGAAACTTTATAGAGACATAAAAATTATTTTCTTTCAATATTTCTACTCCCTCTTATCCTTTCATTTGTTTTCATTGATCCATGAAAAGCCTAAGGGATCAATTGAAAAAAAAGACAAACATCGAAGACTTTTTTATTTTAAGTTTGTAATTAGCTTAGTAACAATATATTTGTATTATTTGATATATTAGCGACACTCTTTTAATAAGTCGCGTTTATTTATTTTTTAATTTTAGAATTCAATTAAAGAAAATTAATGATTTTTTTTAATTTCATGTATAATTTTCCTAAAAAATACCCTTTTGATATCAGATTATTAATTATAATATATAGCAATATCAAACAACATAACTACAGGTGTAAACTATAAATTAAGTAAGGATCTATTTGTCATAATGTAATTGGTTTTTTGATTTTTTTTTTATTTTTCAGTGTTTGGTTTAAGTGAGATAGATAGGTCAATTTAAAACAATTACAAGTCAACAAATTTTTTTTATTAAGTTAAAGTAATTACAAAGTATTATTTATTCTAATTACTATCAATAATTTGATAATTAACGCTCAATCACTTTTACAGTCTTTGGTGGTCGAGCCTATGATCTTTATAAACAACAATGATTATTTTAACCACCGAAATAATTTGGTTTGTGAAAAAAATATGTTAGTCTCTATAAAATAACGTACTTAATTTTTCTTGGTAATTCATTTTTCAATCTGTTCATTATTTTTCCAACTAACTTATATCGTGTAAATGAGTTTGAGATAAAAAAGAGCAACCCATATCGATATAAATAAGTTAATAATATATTTTCTTTAAAGTATTTAACACATTAAATAAAAAAGTTTAAGAAAAAGTAACTTATACGAGGGTAAATAAATTAATAATATTTTTATAAAAATAACAATAATTAAATTATTATAATATTTTTAAAATAATAATATTAAACTTTTATAATAAATAATATTATTTATCATATTTAATATTTACAATAAATATTTTTTCATATAATTTTATTCAAACATTAAAAAATAATTTATGAAAACTATTATTTTAAAAAAATAATTTATTTTACTAAAATTTATTAAAGCATTAGAATGTCATTTCATGTTTGGATCTTGAAAGAAATGAGGTAAAATATAAGAAAAAATGGTACTTTTTTTGTTTTGTTTTTTGGATTTTACCCACAGTTGAAATGGGAAATAGAAAAGGAGTTGAAATGGAAAAAGCAAATCAAATCAAAACTTGAAAATTAAAAGAGAGAGAGAAAAGACTTTGGAAGCTATACCCTTCCTCTCTCTTTTTTCAAATCTCTGAATTGTCGCATAGATCTACACGTCCTCACATCTTGATTTCGTTTGGATCTATCGTCATCGACCGCCCTTCTTTCTACTCCGGTGTTTTTTCACTGATTCAAACAAACAGATCTTACATTTAAGAGATGGAGGCGATCGAGGAGTTGTATCAGCTCTCAGATTCCATGAGGCAAGCGGCGGCGTTGCTTGCCGACGAAGATGTTGACGAAAACTCGAGTTCCAAGAGGTCTTCTACTTTCCTCAACGTTGTTGCTTTCGGCAATGTTGTAAGTTGTTAATTTTTCAAGTAATCTCTTGATTTTCTATTTTTATTCATATATTTTCAACTTATTAATCTGCTTAGTGTAAACTGTTTGTCTTTAATTGATGTATGTGTAGATTGGATTGAGTTTTACTTCTCTGTGTGTTTCAGTTTCAAGCCTTTTCTGTCCGTTGCATGCTGGCAGAGTAGATCCTTGGATTTTGGGGGTTTTGTGGGTTTCTATTTCCATTTGATTGTATTTTTTTCTGATTTCTAATTACCAAGTCTGCTGAGGAATCTAAGCAATAAAGAAACAACCCTTGGCCGATTTGTCCTTTTTTCACAAGTTCGGAAGGGTTTTGATTAGGAAAACGCACCATTGCTTTGTTAAAGAAACTTGAATGTCTTACATGGTCAACGGAATTTGAGTTACTGTATTCTCATTCTAAACGACATGTTTGCAAGTATTACAAATGATATTAGGAATTTTAATGTAACATTGTGGTATCGCCTTTTAATTTGTTTGCATATGTTTTTGGTATGTCTTCCTTTTAATTTGTTTGCATATTGTTATGTCGCCCTGATTTTTTGTTCTTCCAACTTTCTTGCGGTTGAAAATATTGCTTAGGGGTCTGGAAAATCTGCAGTTTTAAACAGTTTAATTGGGCACCCTATTCTGGTAAGTTGGCTTGCTAGAGTTTCTTTTCCTTGTGTATCAGTTTTGTTGCTGGTTGAACTGAAAAGTGTTTCCTTTCTTTCTTACCCAGCCAACTGGTGAAAATGGTGCCACCAGGGCTCCTATTAGCATTGATTTACAGAAGGATGGTTCTTTAAGCAGCAAATCAATTATTCTGCAAATCGACAACAAATCTCAACAAGTTTCTGCAAGTTAATATTTATATTCAAGGCTCACAATTTTACAATTACATAAGTATTTTTCTTTTGAGTTATGGTAAATGGTAATATATTGTGGCTCATACTAGAAACATCTTCCTAGGACCCTCATGATATCAGTAACCTGCCCAGATGCCTTAGAATTGCTGTTTAAGTGGTTGAGTCCTGAAGAATACATCTCGGAAGGGTTTGTTGATGTTTGACATGCATTAGATATATGTATCTAAAACCAATTTGCAATTGGTAAATAGGCTAGAACATGAATCTAGATGATTCAGGGCCATAGTAAACCTCAAACCTGGTTGATTTTTTTTCTGTAGGTGCGTTGCGGCATTCTTTACAAGATAGGTTGAGTAAGAGTTCCTCAGGAAAGGGCCGAGATGAGATTTATCTTAAGCTGCGGACAAGTACAGGTTGGTGCTTTATGTTATAGATGATTTTGAATTTTCCTGGTCTTAAGATAAGTTTCAGAAGTTTGTCTTTTTTATTGATATACACATGGAATGGTTTGATTTAAAGATTGCTCATAAGTATTATGCGGATATAATGAAATTATCTTTTAAATGTGTGGTTTTTATATGAAATTAAGATGACGAGAGGACATCTATATATGATAAACTAATCAGATGGCATAATTTATTATTTATATTTATAAGAACGCTCTTCATGCATGAGAGATACTTTAGAAATGTCAACATTCTTCTCAAATTGAGTTAAGATCTATTTAAAAAAAAAACAATCCTGTGAATTATTTTGAGTTTCAATTCAAGTCTTGCAAAGTGGCTAAATGCCTTTGACACAAGACTGTTTAGTTTAGCTCTTTTCAGTGGAGGAAACATTTTACAAAAAGGGCCTTAAATTATGATAGAAATGCTGAATTTTGATCTCTAATTGGGGAGGGGGGGTTAACACTGGTAAGCTTCTATTTTCTTCCATTAAAAGGCTGTTGACGGTGACTACTTCAAGTCTAAATTTCTGATGCTTCTGAGAATTTCCGTTTATTGCTTCATTTGATTCCATGCTACCTGTACATGTACCAGATTACTTTTAATGTTTGCTACAATGCCTTACTTTTATCTGACATGACTTTTATTCCTCAGCACCTCCCCTGAAATTAATTGACTTGCCTGGACTGGATCAACGGGTTATGGATGAATCAGTGGTAAGTGTTGGTTAATGATTTAAGACCATTCTGTTTACAGGTGTTGGTAGATTAGTGTTCTATTTTAGTTTTGGTGGATACTCTATTTGTTCTTGAGATGGGTGTTATTTTATCCACAGTTTATAGGTATTTGGCATGAGTTGCTATAGTATGGGAAATGTGTATTTAATAACAAACTTTGTGTGATGACTTTTGTATAGGTTAGTGATTATGCTGAGCGTAATGATTCCATTTTGTTAGTTATTGTTCCTGCGGCCCAAGCACCTGAAATTGCTTCATCACGAGCACTACGCCTTGCCAAAGAGTATGATGGAGAAGGTAAAGGAACATTGTTTGTAGTTTTATTTCCTTACCTTTTCTTGGATAAAGGTTGAATTACTTCATTGAGTGAACAATTTTTCCTTGAGTTGTGTTCCCGCTACCTTTATTCTTCCAGAAATTGTCTTTAGTGATCAAACAGCCAGCTTTTCATGTTGATGATAGGTACTAGAACAATTGGCGTAATTACCAAAATAGATCAAGCTGCCTCTGAGCAAAAAGCCCTTGCGGCTGTTCAGGCTCTCCTGTTAAATCAGGGACCACCTAAGACGGCTGATATCCCATGGGTTGCTTTAATTGGTCAATCGGTTTCAATAGCTTCTGCACAGTCTGGATCAGAAAACTCTTTGGAAACAGCATGGAGAGCAGAGAGTGAAAGCCTCAAATCCATACTAACTGGAGCTCCTCAGAGCAAGCTAGGAAGAATAGCTTTGGTTGATGCACTTGCACAGCAAATTCGTAAGCGCATGAAAGTCCGGCTTCCAAACCTCCTCTCTGGGTACATATTATCTGCTTGCTTTCATGCATCTTTATAGTCTTTTACGCCACCGAAATGCTGTAAATGGATTTTGCTCTCTTAAAAGGCTTAATCAATAATTCTTTATGGATATTTATTGAGCAAATCTTCATTTCTAAGTTGATTAGGTCTTGCAAATTACCTCTATGTTGAAATGTATGTATGTTTAGAAGTTACTCGTAATCAAAGTTCTATACAGTAGTGCCAGGTCAGAAAGCATATTTAGACCCTAAGGTTGTAGATATATTGATGTATATATGGATTACTGTTAAAAATAAATTCAAGTAGACAAAAAATGGCATATAAAAAATTTCAGGTCTTTCCTCATAATCTCCATCAAAATATTATTAGAACATATAAAATTACAATACTATATCTGTTGGGTATATAAATCATATTATATGAGATTACACAACAAAGCATGCTCCTTCTTACGAAGTTATAGTTATTTGTACCCTCATTTATCATGGTTAGCATCTTTTGCTAGTCATATTATAGAATATTTTGACATTTTATTTGTCCTTCTCTACTGCTGTGGGTCCTGGTCCGCCCTTGTTTGCTGAGTTGAAAGCAATCAAAGAGGGAATTGTTGTTTTTCTTTCATCTCATTGGGCGGGGAAAGGTAGATTAGTGATAGAGAGTGATTGTTCTAAGGTAGTGGATTGGATCTTGAGGCCTATTTTGACCCCCTCTTTTTTCAGAACTTTGGTCGGGGACATTACTGCCCTAGTTTCTGCTAAGGACATTTTGGTTAGATGGGTCCCTAGGAGCTGTAATTGTGAGGCGGACAAGCTAGCTAAGGAGGGGATAGGTTGAACGTTTTGAGTGTCATCGTTGGTATGTTGTGTTTCTGTTAGGATTTGTCAGTGTAAAGTGTATCTTATGTAATTCGGTTTATTAATAAAATTTAGGTACACTTTTCCTCCTTCAGGTTGTTGCCTCTTTTTAAGAGGCAACGATGACGGAGGTTTTTAACGAGACCTCCTATTCCTATCAAAAATTTTTTTTGGTTAACTAAGTATATCTGTAAAATCTTTTATATTTTCTTAAGTATTTTCCATAAAACAGAAAACAATATTGGATTATATATGGCTGTCTACTGATACATAGCATGAACCATACTTTTATCAAGTATAACCGAATCTATGTGCCTTGATGTTCAGAATGCCATAAATGAAATTGGTTAGTTTGAAAAGAGGGCAACCTGCTGTAGAGGCATATTATCAATATTATCTCTCCCAAGTATGGAAATGTTTTTTATGCCAATTTACTCTACTTTCTTATCCCTTACACCTTTGTGTCAATACAGGTTACAAGGAAAGTTCCAAATCGTTCAGGATGAATTGGTAAGGCTTGGTGAGCAGATGGTCGAGAGTGCTGAGGGTACAAGGGCAATTGCATTGGAACTTTGTCGTGAATTTGAGGATAAATTTCTGCAACACATTACAACCGGAGAGGTGAGTCATAAATTTTCTAAAATTGCATTTTTAAAGAAAAATAACTGTCACAGGAAGACATCATAGTATGGGTTCTCATAATTGGGAGCGTGAAGAGCTTCTTTGCAGATCTTCCTGGAGAAATATTAAGACCTGTTTATTATGGTAGAGTTTGTCCATAGTATGGATAATGAGCTTCCTAAAAATAAGTATCTGCATTAGCTGTTTCTGTTATATGCATGGAAAATTGTCATTTACTAGTGATTTAGAAGTAAATACTACCTTTAGCATCTGTCATGCAGTACACTACTCTATGCCGTTCATTATCGGGCAAGCAAATATTGCTAGTGGGTGCAATATTTAATGGGATAAATATAACCACTAAAAGAACTTTTTGAGCTAGCCAGCCCTTTGTTTTATTTTGTCTTTTCCTGTCTCCATTCTTCACATTCAAAAAATTCATGAAATTTCTTGTTTGAAACATACCAACTGAAATAAGGATCTTTTCATGCAGGGTTCTGGATGGAAAATTGTTGCTAGCTTTGAGGGAAATTTTCCGAACAGGATCAAGCAGCTTCCAATAGACAGACATTTTGATCTCAATAATGTCAAACGGGTATGTTCTCTCCCAGTTTTTTGTCAATTCTTTATTTATTCAGTATCTACTGTTGCTTTTCAGGAATTTTCATGTTCTCTGACTTTGTCTATTTTGTCAGATTGTGTTAGAAGCTGATGGCTACCAACCGTATTTGATATCTCCTGAAAAGGGTTTGAGATCTCTAATTAAAGGGGTGTTGGAGCTGGCCAAAGAGCCAGCACGTCTTTGTGTTGATGAGGTAAGTCTAATGTTAGTGTTCGTCCTTCCATATCTGTTTTGCCTTGAACTTGGAAATTTTGGCCACTTCTAATGCTTTATGTGTTATATAAAAGACTCACTTTTTCCCTTCTCATGGATAATGTAGCATTTGATTTGTACCTTTTGTGTTGGCTTAGAATCTTTTGACATTGTGCAAATTGCTTTGTCCCCCCCTTTAATGTTTCTGCATGGTTGTACTTTGTGCTCTGCAATTATAGAATTGCTCTACTTTTTCTTGTGCATTGAGTTCTTTCTTTCTGTCTATTCCCCACTTCCAAAGAAGTATTATCAATTATTTTAATCTGAGCTTTTAACTCATTATTTGCAGATTTTAGCTTTACATGTGTTTCTATATTGATTTCTGTGTGAGTTCTTTGTGTACTAAACAGGTACACCGTGTCCTAATAGATATAGTTTCTGCTGCTGCTAATGCTACACCTGGTTTGGGAAGGTACCCCCCATTCAAGAGAGAGGTATTATATCTTAAAATTGTGTACTTTCTTACATATATACATATATATTCATACCTTCTCTATTTAATTTAAACTTTTCTGGTTTAGAACTGTTTTGCCCCTTTTCCGTGTAAGGCTTGGCTTTTTTTTTTTTGTAGGTTGTGACCATTGCAAGTGCTGCCTTGGATGTGTTTAAAAATGAAGCAAAAAAAATGGTTGTTGCACTTGTTGATATGGAGCGAGCTTTTGTACCGCCCCAGCACTTTATTCGATTGGTGCAAAGGAGGTATTTACCACCTGTTTTCCAACTTTCATACTTTCCACTTCTGGTATTTTCAACTAACTTTATCTATGGCGTCAATTCATTTTATTTACTTTAGGATGGAAAGACAGCGCCGGGAAGAGGAGATGAAGAATAGGTCCTCAAAGAAAGGACATGAAGCTGAGCAGGCGATACTGAATAGGGTAGGTTCTTTCTTGAATGCTTTTATTTTTGGAGATTGGAGCAGATGGACATCTGTAGCTACATTGCTGACTTCTCATTTCTTTTAAAGTACAAGTGTCCAGCAAATAACTGAAGGATATGTATATGTGTCCAAAATATAACCAGAAACTTCGAAACAATTGATGCGCCTTATCTCACACTCCTAGCTGCATAATTTCTAGTTTACTTCAATTTCATGCATTGAATTGTTCATGTTATACTGGATTTAGATTTATATTCTTTGCTCAGTTTTGCCTTTATATTGTCTTTTTAGGCAACAAGTCCTCAACCAAGTAGTCAGCAAACTGGTGGAACCTTGAAGACATTGAAGGAGAAATTTGGGCAGTCTGAAAAGGAGGTGCAGGAGACCCCTGCTTTGAAAACTGCTGGTGCTGATAAAGAAATAACTGCAGGTTTGTTTATTAACTCACTCACATTATGTTACTTGATTATAGCTGAAATCTTAAGTTCTTGGTAATGCTATATTTTAGAATTTTTTTACTGCTGTGCTCTTGAACACAGTGGTCACTTATAGAAAATTTACATGCAATCTTCTATTGCCAGTAGAAGTGTAAATATTAACTTCTGAGGATTAGAACTACTTTATTTGTTTTAATATGCTCACTATAAGTAAATTGTGTTTGTGATGGTGTATGAGATTGAACCCATTCAGTCGCATTCTAGATTTAAAATTTTGCATTTGTTTAAGCAGTTGAAATGCACTGCAGGGAATGGTGTTTTTATTTCTATTTATGCAGAATATTCTGAACCCCACTGACCTATGACATTTGCTCCATCATCTTCTTTCTTGTTTGTTATACGTGGAAGCTAACTTTAGTTTTAACTATCTGAAATATGGGCTCCTGAATAGAATAAATTTTACCTTCTAGAATGATTATGGCTCTCCCTTACTTTCACTACTTATCGTTGAAGCGGTTTATTTCTTTATTTTACCTGTTATCTTGAATCATATATAAAAAAATTCCATAGACATTGCATTTGTTGGTGGACAATGTATTAAACTTTCATGGATAATTGCCTTCCACAATTTTCCCCAACTCTCTGCATTTTTATATTTGTTTAAATGTGGAGGACACTGCAGTCTTATTTAGTTTCTCTGACAGTGCTGCTTTTGACAGTTTCTATTTATTTATTTATCTGCAGGGTTCTTGCTGAAGAAAAGTGCTAAAACTAACGGATGGAGTAGGCGATGGTTTGTTTTGAATGAGAAGACTGGAAAGGTGTGAAATTTTTTCTCATTTGGTTAAGAAGCCCAGAAATCAAGGAAATTAAGTCTTATGTAATGTTCAGGGGTTTGGTAGTGCAGTTTATTCCTAGGTGTTGTAATTGGGAAGCCGACAGGTTAGCTAAGGCAGGGATTGGCTAAGTATTTGTTGTTTTGTAAAGGCTTAGAATGTATGCTTCTGTTATTAATAAATTGAGGTACTCTTTTCCTCCTTCCGCTGGTTGACCTTTTCCTATTCGAAAAAGTCAACTACGAAGGAGGTTTTTAATGAGACCTCCAACTTCTATCAAAAAAAAAAAAAGAAGCCCAGAACTATTTACAAGTCGGAATGGCACTATACATAGTGTCCCCATAAGAATTTTATTGTAATTATATTTTCATGTGGGTAGTATCAACTTAGTAGAGCATGGTAATAAAACTTGCTAGATGCCTATAGCTGGACAATTGCCAGATGTTATTGATATATGTCATCTGTGCTTCTAAAAAATGTGTGATTGTAATTCAGTGATGCATTATCTTGATAGAATTTTTTAAATGGTTGAATGGGTTTTGACCCGTCCTTCATTTCTCAGCTTGGCTACACCAAAAAGCAAGAGGAAAAACATTTTCGAGGAGTCATCATATTAGAGGTACAAAGACATTTTCCTTACCTTTTAGTTTTGAGGCTACAGTTATGTATCTGGTAAATGTTTTCACCATTTCAAGTAATGAGTCTCTTAAGTGTTTTGGCCTGTTACATATTTTAGATTACGACTTTGATGTATAAATAAGTGTGTGTGTGTATTACATTTATTAGTGGTTCAATCATAACAAAACTGGAAATGGATTTAATGTCAAACTAAAAGTAGTATATGTGGTAAAATTTGTTTTCCTTATGGCTTATACATCTAAAAAGTGTTTTACATGCATTCTTACTTTGGTATACTACGGTTCTCTATATGTTAAGCATCTTGTTTTTATATAGGATGTACTAAATTTTCAAATAGATCTTTCTATTACCTCATTGAAGTTTCTGCCCATTTATAATTTTGGGTGAGGTGTTTGAGGCATCGTTTATTTTATTTTTACAAGAACCTTGACTTTGCCATAAATCTTAATATTTTGTAATTGGAGTTTGGGATTCTGCTTACAAGTAACCTGAAATTAAAAATTGATATGATATATATCCTACATTACAATTATGATCTCTAAACAAAATATTTTGGTTTCTCAGCATTTACACATAACTGGATATGGTTTCTTTTAAAAGGTTGATATGCAGATGTACTTTAAAAGCATTTTTAACTTTTTAGTCTTGGGAGATACTGATGTATTAGGACCAATTTTAGCAATGATATTGATGGGCTATTCTGCTCTGCTCTTAACTGTTTTGAGTTTGTCTTTTCTGCCCAAGGGATATTCCTGTTACCTGCTGTTGATGTTATTGAGTATGTTGTGTTTTATTGACTGTCATTTGCCAGTTAATAGGACTTCACCTGTACGTGGGCCTGCCACTTTTGGATTTGCAACTTCTATTATAATTCATGACATATAACTTTCTATCTCAATTGGTCCTGTGCAGGAATGCAGCATTGAAGAGGTACCAGATGAGGAAGAACCTGCCCCAAAAAGTTCAAAGGATAAAAAGGCCAATGGCCCGGATAAGCAACCTAGTCTTGTGTTCAAGATAACTAGCAAGGTTCCTTATAAAACTGTTTTGAAAGGTGTGTTTTCCTCGTTCTTCCTTCTATTGAATCATGTTGTTTCTTGACCCTCTCCTTTTTGTCTATTATGCTTTCTATATGAAAAAAAATATTTATTAGAAGATTCTTTACAACTCCTGTTTCTCTTGCAGCTCACAGTGCTGTTGTGTTAAAGGCTGAGAGTATGGCCGATAAGGTTGAATGGATGAACAAATTATCAAAAGTTATTCAACCTTCTGTAGGGCCAGTGAAAGGTGTGCCTGATGGCGGTCCTGGAATGCGACAGAGTCGTTCAGATGGTTCTCTTGTAAGGATTTTTTTTTGTAAGGTGTTTTCTTGTAAGTTGATTAATCTTATTTCCATTTTTTATTAAAAAAAAACTTGGAAAAGGTATTTTGTTCTCCCATATTTGCTTCTTTTCTTTCCCCTGAAAGTTTCGTTCCAAGAATATCTTTTAGGACCATCACAGCCTTCTTTTCTGCATTTTATCAGTGTTTCAAATATTTGTTATTTCAATGGCTTATGTGATTGTTTATATCTCAAGTATGTTGACTGTATTTCTGTCCTCAACCCCCATCCTCCTCTCCTTTCTTTACTTTTAGAGTTGCTCCTTAAATTCTCCTTGTCATGTGCAGGATACAATGGTTCGAAGACCTGTTAATCCTGAAGAAGAACTTCGATGGATGTCTCAAGAAGTTCGTGGTTATGTTGAAGCTGTATTGAACAGTTTAGCTGCCAATGTCCCGAAAGTAAGTTCTTCATCCCTTACCCTGTCTATCCTGGTAGTGGAATGTGAGAAAGCTTATATCTGTTATGTGATGGTTGATCAGGCTGTTGTTCTTTGCCAAGTAGAGAAAGCTAAGGAAGACATGTTAAATCAGTTATATAGCTCTGTCAGGTTGGTTACTCTTCTATTTTTATTTGTGTCCATGAAACTCTTTCAGGCCTCGCCTTGGAAGCAGATGTGTAGTCTTTTTTATGGATTCTGGGTTTGTATAATCTGCCATGAAGAGAAATGTTGTAATCTTCTTACGTGTTGCTTATATAGAAATTTTTGCTGAATATGTAATGTTTTTCGACTGTGTAGTGCTCAAGGCACAAAAAAGATTGAGGAGCTACTTCAAGAGGATCAAAATGTAAAGCGCAGAAGGGAGCGTATCCAAAAGCAGTCATCACTTCTTTCAAAATTAACACGCCAACTTAGCATACACGACAATCGAGCTGCTGCTGCTTCTGATTGGTCTGATGGTGGGGCTAGTACAGGTGTGTAAATACTCTTTATTAAAGGCTGAATTTATATCTGCTTGTTGAGACCTCCAAAAAACTCCATTTCCATATGCCGGTTGAGGGCACTGAAATTTTCCATTTCCATATGTCGGTTGAGGGCACTGAATTTATACTCTTTATTTACTTCGATTGAGACTGGCTTCGGGTTGATTGCTAACAACTTTTTTCCTCACTTTACACCGATAGTCTATATATTGTGTTGTGACATTGTAAATCTTTGGATTATTGTGTTTGCAGAAAGTAGTCCAAGAACAAATGGTTCAGCTGGTGATGACTGGAGGTCAGCATTTGATGCAGCTGCTGCTAGTGGCCCTGTGGACTACAGGAGGTCTGGGTCTAATGGTCCAGCACAGAACGGTGATGTGAATTCTCGATCAGGGTCCAACAGCCGCCGTACCCCCAACCGTTTTCCACCAGCACCACCACCGTCTGGCTCTGGTTACAAATATTAGTGGCTCATAATTTCTAATTATGGAAAGCCCACTTCACGATTCTAAGCATTTATCATTTCAAATTCTACAATAGTCATTGAAGCAGGAAGACTAGACGAGAGATGGTTGTGTAAATAGGACTATAGTTGCCTGCTATATTTCAGGTTCAACTGTGGATCGATTATTTTTACTCAAATTTTGTCATATTATTGTTTTTTTTTTCTTTTTTTGGGGGTTATGATTTTCTTCTTGTTTATTCCGAATTCCATCCCCACGGATTTATTTGATTGTATTGACTATCATCGACGGTCTTAATAACTGGTTCGGTGGGTGAAGGATACTGTACTTGTCAATAACATGTTTTTTTTTTTGTTTTCCTTTTACTTCTGTTGGTTTGCTACTAAAATGAATTTAATTGCTTTAGATTGTAAAGCTAGTTATTAACTTTCTTTACGCAAATATTATATTTTCTAAAATTTAATTATTATACAAGGTTTTGCCAATGAGTATATTATTAATAAATGTAAATTACACGTTTAGTATCTATCGATTAAAAGATAATATTTGGTCATAATCTTTCTCAATTATTGAAAACTTATATGTATTTTGTAGATATAGTTGCTTGAATCAGATACTTGAAAGGAAAATGATACTTTCATTAATCATTGATATCAATCAATACATTTGCTTTAAACATTATTTAATTATATACACCAGTATTTAAAAAGTTTTATGTGTATATCTTATAAATTATTAATTGACAATTAGATTCATGGAAGTTTGAAAGGAGCCCTGTTCAAGTTGGACGCTTTGAGCCAAATTATTCAAGTTTATCACTAAACCGTGATTTCATTATTTATTTATATATAGATCGTACTGCCACATTAACAATACGGTGACCTGAATGTTAATATCAATAAGTTAAATGATTTGTTAATGACATTTAAAATTTAGTGATCCAATTGTAAATTTATTAATAATAAAGTAACCTTGTTGTAATTTACCCAAGAAGTAAACACCCACAGAAACGTAGTATTCTTTTTAAGTAAATTTCCATTTTTATTATTGAAATCTCAAAAGTAACAATTGACTCCACTAAAAAAGGAATTGGTTTTTCTGTACAAATAAATATTAATTTCTTTCATTAACCATAAGCCCCGTTTCTCCTTTACCCGAATTTCCTTCTCCTCCTTGTCCTTCACCCTCTTCCAAATGGTGACAAGAACAATGAGCTTCAATTTGGTGGGTACATTTAGGGGTCTTTCTCTATCATCAAGCCCCAATGGTGTCTAGTCCCCGTTATTGGTCAAGGTTTTGACAACAAGGAAACCCTCTCAAAATCCCTCGTTTTCTTGGAAGCACGAAGGTCAGGGAAACTCCCTCCTAATAATAGAGTAAAATGGAGGGGAGATTCCTCTCTTGTGGATGGAAAAGAAGCAAAAGTTGACCTTGTGGGAAGGTATTACGATGCAGGAGACAATGTCAAGTATAGGTTGCCAATGGCCTTCACAATCACCACCCTGGCATGGTCGGCCCTTGCTTTCAAAGATCAACTTCAATCATCAGGAGAACTGGGAAATGTTCATGAGGCTATTCGTTGTTGTTATAAATTGATAATGTAGATGACCAATCATTACTTTTGAAACATATGTGGGAAAAAGATAAAAGTATTTAAATATAAGTGACCATTGACGTAGTTTACCCTATTCTCCCCCCCCTCTCTCCCTATAAAATCATAAATCCACTCCAGCTTGCCTCGATACTTAAACCTGTTATCGTCTACTTCCAGAAAGATCATAAGATTTATTCATTAATCGACGGTAACAAAATGTTCAAGAAGGCAGTAGAAGCTAAGGCCCAGCAGAGGCTATCGGGAGCCGACAAGAAGAAGCTGAAGCGCACTATCCGAGACCGATTCCCCATGGCTTCCGATACTGACATCGATGCCTTGCTTCCTCCCAAGGTACCCATTTTTTTTTGTTAATCTCCTTCGCATTTCATATCCCTTTTTATTCAACGTCTTTCCTTCTTTAATAGGCTGAGATTACTGTTTCCAAGTTTCAAAATCGAGTCCATGTGTATGGTGTAGAAGGGGGCTACCCGCTATTTTTCGATGTTGATGGCCGCGGCTCTGAAATTTACCCCACTGGTTTGTATCTTTACTCATTCCTCCATCGTTTATTGTGCTTGTTATGGTGGATAACCGAACAAAGAAAGCCTCAAGGAATTGTGTAATTAGATATTAGTTTGTGGAGAACCTTGTTTGTTTGCGTCTACAAATTATACTTTTTAGAGTTTAAAGGAAAATCTTTTTCCATTCTCTAGTATATTTGGATGAAATTTGTTGTTTTCCGTGGCATGGCTAGCATTTATGCTTCTATCAACTTTACTTAAATTAACGTAAAGCCTGGCCAAAATAAAATTAGATGGATAAAAACATAAAGGCCATTGGAATGCTAATGATATTAACCTCAGATAAATTTGTTTGGAAACCTCTAATGGTGAAGCTCTTTCTTTCATTATGTACAATGTTTTCTTATCGTAACTTCCTATGTTGCAGTTTTTGCTCTCTGGAAGCTCCCTGATCTTTTACCTTCTTTTATGCTTAAGGGGGGCGAGGTTTCTCGGTTTGTCATTGGAGGTGCAGATCTGATGTTCCCTGGCATTAGTGTGCCTGCTGAAGGTCTAGATTCATTTTCAGCTGGGGAGCCATGGGCGGTTAAAGTTCCTGGCAATCCAGCGCCTATTGCAGTAAGCATGTTGAAAATTTATCTTCTTCTATCTATTTAGTCAGTGTTGTTAAAATTTTATTTCTTCTATGCAGGTTGGCTCCACCACAATGAGTAGTGATGAAGCATTAAAAGCTGGTTTGCGTGGAAAGGCTTTACGGATAATGCACTATTACCGTGACTTACTTTGGCAAGTATAACTGAAAACTAAATGAGAAGTTCATTAATGAGTGACTTTGTTATTAACATGCCTGTGAGATCTTTGCAGGGAGTCAGTTGAGGGTCATTATGTTCCTAATCCAGGTTTCTTGGAGGATGTTGTAGTGGAGGATCCTTCATTTTTGACATCAAATCAACCTTCTGATTTATCTGAAGTTGCAACTCATGAATCCGATGTGCCAGAAAGTTACATTAACAATGAAAATACTGAGGAATCCATTGACGTAAATGATTCTACTTCTGATACATTTGCTGCTGCCGCAAAAAATGATTCTGAAAAATCTGCAAAAGAAATAACAACTGATGACTTTGATTTGAAGTCGGCTAATGTTGCTGATACAAAATCAGATATTGACCTATCGTCTCTCTCCATTGAGGATGTAGATTCCCATTTGGACAGATGCCTTTTGCAGGCTTTGCATACAACAGTGAAGGATAAAGACCTTCCAATTCCTGGAAGCGCACTATGGTAAAATTATTTAAATTGATAGTAGTGCTCTTATCTTCCTCCTCCTCTTGGCCCTTCCTCTCTTCTCCAGTCACACACTTCTGGGGCACATAAAAGCTTAAGCAAGCATGACCTATATTTATGAATAAACTAAAAAGTATTTGCTTCTTTTTATTTGTTTCTCTAGATATACTCACTACTATTCAATGCTGCATGCTAGAAAAAAAGCAAAAACCATGTGCTGGGTATATCAATTCTCTACACAAGCATGATCAATTTTTCTCATGTTTTAGATGGGATGATACGGATTTTAGATGTCAATGTTATGGCTAGACTTGCTTAGAAGTTCCCCCCCCACTTTTTTTCCTCTCATTATTTAACCAGGAATCACTAGTTTCTTGAATTTCTTACTTTCCGGGTTTTGTGATTGGTGTAGGTCAAACCATGTGTTACCTTGTAGACCTTCAGGAATCACATTAGATATTAAGAAATCATCTCATAAGAAGTTATCGAAGTGGCTACAAGCCAAATCGTCTACAGGACTGGTTTGTTTCCTGCATTTTTTTCTTCTTCTTAAAAGTAGTGATGTGATATTTTATTAATTGGTTGCACTTATGCACATTTTACTTAATAGTTCTTGTTATTGTCCGATCTGGGTTTTACTCAGTTTTTAGGATTAATGCTCATTCTGCTCTTTATTTGAAGGTAAAAAAGCAACCAGAGTCTGTTATTTTAGGGTTGAATGAGCTAGCCTTTATCTTATGATGTTGCAAGTATCATTAGCTTGACACAATTGGAAGCTGACAGAAATGTCCTTTAATTCCTCTGTGAGTTAATTTATGTTGTGTGAAATATGGAAATAAAGTTACAATAGACAACAAAGTTAAGTGACATGCTTACATCCTCTAAGGTGTCTACTAAAATCTAATTAAGCTTCTTCAAGTAGATGCCAAGTTTTAAGCTCTTCTCTTCAAGTGTTGGTTCAATATATGAAGTTTGACAATCGGCATGTAGTTTCTTAAACTGAATAAGAACAAATTTATTGGTGAAAACAAATGCATTTAAAAGTAAGGTAACATCTTTGTTTTTGTTTTTTTCTTTTGTTCTATTATTGCATTTGAAAGTAAGGTTACAGGATTTGAGGTTGTGTGAATTTAGGTACTAAAAAGAGTTATAAAGCTTAGGGCTTTTATTAGATAAGACACTTTCTAAGAATATGGTTCTGAACTTCTGGTTGGTTAGAGAAACAACTTTTTCTAAGAATACTTTGTTCTGCCTTGAATGTTTATTGTCGCCAGAGAAATTAACCACATTGTGCTTTTCCATATAGTCTTGAAAGTTGAATAAGACTTCTGATTTATGCTTCCACTAATGTATGATTTGGACAGATTGAAGCACCTCTAAGGTACGAGACATAAAGGAAGAGAGATATGAGCGCGTTAGGTAGAGAGAGAGTGAGAGAAAAGTCAAAAATTTCCATTGATGCTGATGAGGAATGGACAGTGTTCATTGATAATCTTAACAAAAGTGTTTCCAGAGGGGTGTTAAGGAATTATTTTAGTCCTTATGGTCAGATCTTGAGGATTTTCATCCCTCGTTTTTTAGAAAAACCAAATTATAAATCTTCTACTTTTGCTTTCGTCCAATACACTCGCGAGGAAAGTAGAAACAAGGCAATCCGGTTCGTGAATGGGAGGTGGCTTGATGGAAGAAGAGTCTCAGTAGGGATCGCTAAGTATCAAAAGGTTAAGAGAAGGGAAGCTGTGGAGGGGAAGAGAATGTTGGAGATCAGGTCTGAGATTAAGGATGCACCAGGATCGGGGAGGAGAGCTGTGTCGTTGAGAAGCTTGAGAGATAACAGATCGTATAAGGATGTGGTGAACTCTGATTATGATTTGAGAAGGAAAACAGTATCAGGGGCAAACTTGTCGGGTAACAATCAGAGTGTTCCAATTGTGAGAAACGTTTGGGACATGCATATTCCATCAGATAATTCGGAATGGGTTAAACGTTCACTATCAGGGATAATGAAGTCTTCTTTTGAATAACTCGGTGAAGGACGCTCTGGAGTTAGAAGGCATGGAAGTTCAAGTTGTTAGATGGGGTTATGCATGGAATGCATGCATAATTACTTTCAACTCGGTGGAGGAGGCCTCACAGGTATGGATGAATAAAAAAGAAAAGCTGTTCTTATGCTTTGATTGGTTAGCCCCAGTTTTGAACGAGGATGGAGTTCCGTCAGCACTTTGCCAGATTGAGTTATTTGGATTGCCTTTACTGTGTTGGAATGAGGCATTCTTAAGAAAGCTTACAAGGAAGTGGGGTCAGTTTCTATGTTTTAACAAAGATTCAGAGAGCAGATCGGACCTCTCGACGGCAAAAGTTCTGCTCAGGGTGGAAAGTCCTTATGATATTCCTGATAAAGTGACGATTGGTTCGTATGGTAGATCGTTCAAAGTTACGATCACTCTGGGATCTGTTTTGATTAAACTAGAGGAAGAAGCGGGAAGGAAGAAGATGGAGAAATTTTCAAAAAAAATGAACAGTGGTTATGTCGTGTCTGAGGAGGGATCTGGCAGACATCCTACTCTGGCTGAAGACAGGGATGAGTCTGCAGAGGATGCTAGGCTTAAAGTCATTTCTTGGCTAAATTGTGGACAGAACAGTGGAGTGAATGGAGTCAGTGGGGGACATGTCCAATCGAGTAAGTCAACAGCAGATAATTCTGATCGTGGGCTGTCAGGTTTCTTGGAAAATAAGACAAGTCAGAATGACAATCACTTGGGCTTGGGATTGAGAGATACAATTGATCCGGTAGACTCAGTGCAATATGAGGAAAATGAGGCTGCATTATTTCGAAATAAAAAATGGGTTCCCAATGGGCCAGCATTTAATTTTAAATGGGTTGGGGACAAGTTTGTCTTACAGCCCAATGCCAGTCCTGTAATTCACTTGAGTGCTGCTGATGAGGGGGAGGATAAGGGGGCGAAAGTCGATTTTCAGGGGGGAAAGGAAGTGAACAGGGAGATGTAATAAGAAAGCATAACTACATTGGTTCAAAAAGCCTGGAGGGGGACCACATTATTAGTTTGCAGATTGATAATGATGTAGAGGGGTTTAAATGTACAGTTGATAAATCGAAAGGTGGTAAGCAGATGGAGAAGGTTATGAATGATAATTTATGTAACTCTAATGAGGAAATCTTCTCAAGTTCGAGTACAAAGAATAGAAATAATGAGATTCAAGAGGGAAGTACTTCATGCCACAAGAAAGATGACCAGTTTAAAGCAAAGGAAAGTCATCTAGTTCCTATTAATCAGCAGGATCAGTGTATTCCTCGGTCTAAAAGCCTTACTAATAAGCGAAAGTTGAGAATAGCCCCTCGTCGATCAGGAAGTGTTTGCTCGGATACTGAAGTGTCTATCAGCTTCTATGATAGAGTCTATAGAAAGGTTCTTTGAAGTATGGTCAGGGAGTCAGTGGAGCAAGTCAGGGAGGTATCTCAGTCTTCCCAATCTTCTGTTAAAGCTAGGATTGAAGCTGCTGCTACTAGGGAGGTCTGTGAAATGTTGGGGATCACCTTTAAAGGGGGGTAGCAATTACTAGAGGAGGAGATTTTTAGGATGGAATTGAAGGGGTCTTCTCAATGACCCTGATGGTTTCTTTGGTTTGATGTGGAGTTTATGATTGTTAATTTTATGTCTAAGTTAAAATTAATCACATGGAATATTAGAGGTTGGGAGAAGAGAAAAAATAAGAGCAGTGGCCAGACTCGTTACTAGAGAGAAGCCGTCTATCCTATTCTTACAGGAGTCAAAACTGAATGTCTGTAAAAGCAATTTATGGAGGAGGTTAGGAGGTAATCTATTGAAAGGTCATGTCTTTCTTCCAGCTGAGGGTTCTGCAGGAGGTTTGATCAGTTTGTGGAATGAGAGTGTTTTTGTGGTCAATGTTGAACATAAACATAGCAGATTCATAGCATTATCAGGAAAGTTCAAGCTGTATAATTTTGATTGTGTTTTAATAAATGTATATGGTCCAGCAGTAGAAGCGGATAAAGAGGAATTCTTTAGGGAGCTAATGTGTTTTGTGCAGTGTTTAAACCTGCCACTCTGCATAGGAGGGGATTTTAATGCTTATTTGGATACAGAGGAGAAATGCGGTGTAGCTCAAAACTGGCATTCCATGGATTTGTTTAGATCCTTTATTCAACATTTTAATCTTATGGATTTACCATTAGTTGGAGGAAGATATACTTGGTGCAACAACATAGAGTCTCCTACTTGGGTAAGGCTTGATCGGTTTATTATCAGTGGTTCTTTCCTAAATCAATTTCCTAATATGATCCAAAAAATGTTCTCAAAATCCCTTTCGGATCATAATCCTGTGGTGTTAGTAGAAGAATGCAACAATTGGGGACCAAAACCTTTTCGATTATACAACTATTTGTTAGAGGAAGACTGGTTTGTTGAGTTGATTGAAAATTTATTGTCTACTGTGAAGGCGAATGGTCGAAGGGGTCTATTTTCTCTACTTCGAGGAACAAAGCAGAAGATCAGGGATAGGCCTTTTTCGACTCAAAAGGGGATTTCTGAAAAAATTTCTCAACTAGAAAACTTGATTAATGATTTGGAATTCAAATTGCAAGGAGGGATTTCCATTCAAGAAAGGATTGTTGATTCTGTCCAGGAATGAATTATGGAAGTTGCATAGGAGGGAAGAGAGTATTTGGTTACAAAGATCAAGATTGAAGTGGATCAAGGATGGGGATAGGAATACAAAGTTTTTCCATTTAACAGCATTAAATAGAAATAGAATGAATACAATTTTGGCCCTGAGAGTGGCTGATGAAGAAATTTCTGATCCGGAGAAGTTGAAAAAATTTGCCTTTGAGTATTTTAAGGAGAACCACAGCTCTAAAAATACGCTGGAGGTAGAGGACATTAATCTCAATTTCATGACATTATCAGAGGAGCAGAAAAATGGACTTGAGGTACGGTTTTCAGAACATGACGTTAGGGAAGCAGTGTTTCACTCGGACAGCTCCAAAGCCCCGGGTCCATACGGCTTCACGATGGGTTTCTTTAAAAAATTCTGGCTTGTTTTGAAGGATCATTTAATAAAGTTTGTGGATGACTTTCACAGAGGAATGAGTTGGGAGCATGGGGTCAACCATGCTTTCATTACTTTGATTCCTAAAAAACTCAACCCTGAAGTTATTGAAGATTACAGACCAATTAGTCTTGTTGGAAGTTTGTACAAAATTATCTCTAGAATCTTATCGAGGAGATTGGTTTCTGTTATTAAAGTTTTGATCAGCCCATTGTAGTTCGCCTTTATTCCGGGTAGGCAGCTCATTGATTGCGCTTTTATGGCAAATGAATCTATAGATTACTGGAGGAAAAAAAGGTAGGAAATGAGTTGTTTTTAAAGTAGATTTTCGCAGAGCCTTTGACTCAGTGGAATGGCCAATTATTTTGAGGTTATTGAAGATAATGGGTTTTGGAGACAAATGGATTTCTTGGATGGATTATTGTATTTCTTCTGCTTCAATTTCAGTCCTAATTAATGGTTCCCCTACTCAAGAATTTCAGATGGGCAAAGGGCTGAGACAAGGTTGTAGTCTATCTCCTCTTCTGTTTAATATTGTTGGTGAGCTATTGAACTTAATGTTGAGTAAGGCTGCTACCCTTGGTCTTTTTGAAGGATTCAATATTGGTATTGAAGAGAATCTTTTTAAGTTGACTCATCTGCAGTTTGCAGACGACCTAATCTTATTTTGCAGAGATTCTTCAACTCAAATTCTGAATTTAAAGAGAGTATTGAGGGTATTCAATTTAATTTCAGGGCTTCATCTTAATCTATCCAAGAGTAAATTGTTTGGTGTTAATGTGGCAGAGGACAGATTAAAAGATTTAGCACTGGAAGCAGGTTGTGGAGTGGGATCTTTTCCTATGACTTATCTAGGTCTTCCGATAGGAACAAAGAAAAATTCAGAGTTATTGTGGGAACCAGTTTTACATAAAGTTTTCACCAGATTAGCAGGGTGGAAAGCTGCTTCTTTATCGTTGGCTGAAAGATTGGTGTTGATAAAATCGGTATTGTCCTCCTTACCTATTTTTTACCTCTCTATTTTCAAAATTCCGTTTAAGGTCAATCAGAAAATTAACTCAGTATTGGTAAGATTTCTTTGGGGTGAAGAATCTGACAAGAAGAGGGTTCATTGGGTGAATTGGAGTACGGTTTGTCAACCATTGGAAGGAGGCTTAGGAGTATTGGACTTAAGTATGATTAATAGAGTTTTGCTAGGGAAATGGGTTTGGAAGTATGCAAGTGACAAAGACTCTCAATGGAAAAAATTGATTTGTTGTATTCATAATGTCAGTATGGATTCTCTGTCTATAGGCAAGGTTGTTTCTCTTCAAGATTCATGGGTGTGGAGAGGTATTCGGAGTAACTATGAGAAAAAGGACGAGATTGGGGATTGTTTGAGATCCAATTCAAAGATCCAAGTGGGGAATGGTAGGTCAATTGATTTTTGGAATGATATTTGGGTTAATGGATCTACTCTTAAGATTCAATTTCCTAGAATCTATGCTCTGTCGACTAACAAAAGGGGAAAATTGGTTGAATTTGGTGGATTTGTAGCTAATGGTTGGGTTTGGAACATTCAGCTAAGGAGAAATCTTTGTGATTGGAATTGGATCAGTGGCTTTCCTTAATGCTTTTGATTGACAACATAACACCGAATGAATCAGTGGATGATTTTCTAGGGTGGTCGGGGAAAGGGGATGGTTTGTTCTCGGTAAAATCCTGTAGAATGACTATCTCAAGCAGAACTGGAGGTCATTTTCAATGGAAGAAATGGGTGTGGTCCAGATTAACTCCTCCTCGAGTGGAAACATTTCTATGGCAGTTTACTCATCAGAAATTGGCGGTAAGAGTGGAATTGAAGAAAAGAGGGGTCAATCTAGAAGATGTTTTATGCCCTTTTTGCCACAAATATGAGGAATCAATTCGTCATCTGTTTTTTTCATGCTCAGTTGCAGAGGAGTTGTGGTATAGATTTTTAAGGTTTTGGGGCATCTCTTCGGTCATGCCCCAAGATCCTCCTTCCTTTCTTTGCTCTTGGTCTTATCTAAGGGAGTGTTCTAATATTTGGAAGTTCATTCCAGGGTGTTGTTCTATGGTCTATTTGGAAAGCTAGGAATGCAGTGGTTTTTGAAAACTGGACATTAGATAATTCATCCATATTCTTCATTTCCAGGTTTAGGTTGGCTAAATGGTTTTTAGCGAAATTTCCTCATGTTAATATTCAAGTTGACCTACTAGTAGGGGATCCATCGCTTGTAGACAATTTGCCTATAAAATCCTACAATAAGGAGAAGGTTCTTAACTGGTCTCCGCCTCCTTCGAATTTCTTTAAATTCAATGTTGATGGTGCGGTAAGAGGTGATGGGCTGCAGGGAGGTATTGGAGGAGTCTTGAAAGATTCGGATTGTTCTACTTTATATACCTTTTCTTTTGCGGTGGGACCTGGTCCTCCTATGTTAGCTGAGCTAAAAGCTATTAAACAAGGGATTGATCTATTCATTTCTTCCGAATGGGCTCTGAAGGGAAGACTAATCCTTGAGACAGATTGTAAAACAGCAGTTGACTGGATTTTGATGCCATTTTCTGCCCCTACTTTTTTCAATACTTTAGTTGGGGAAATTGAGGCCTTAGTTTCTGCTAGGGGTATTATTGTTAGATGGATTCTTAGGACATGCAATTGGGAGGCTGATAAGCTAGCTAAAGAGGGTATTGGTTGATGTTTGAGCTTTATGGTTGTTTTGGTTTGTATTTTATTTCGGACAGTTTATTTAGTAAGCTGTAATCTTATGTAAACATGGTTTTAATATAATGAGGTACTCTTTTCCTCCTTCCGCTAGTTGCCTCTTTCACAAGAGCCAACTATGAGGGAGGTTTTTAATGAGACCTCCTATTCCAATAAAAAAAATATATATATATAGTCTTGAAAGTTCTCAAACTCCCATGAGATTATGAAACCAATACTAATGGCATTGGGAACTACAGTCTAGTTTCAAACTAAGTCTCTATTCATATTTAATCCATTTAAAAGTGTTATGGTGGCTGGAAATTGATATAAATAGTGCGTATCCTAGTTTATAGATGGTTAAATCTTGATCAAGCAGTAAAGTCTAAAATCATCCATAGGCTTCTCCCTAGAAAGGGTTGTTTTGTTTTTTTTCTCCTTTTAATTGTTTTATTTTGTATTTCATGATCATTGTTAATGTTTGAACAGATAGCAGTAAAAGAAGACAAGTACAAAAAAGAAGCTATGTTAATTTCTGTTAATCGAGGTCACCCAGAGTACTTACAGTTCAAGCCAGAAAAGCGACCAGTGGAGAAAGTTGGTCAGGCTGGTGATGCTGCCGCTAGTGAAAGCCCTTCACAGAAGGTGCTTGAAGTGGTAGAGGTCTACAAGTCAAGTGTGCACGTTAATCCCATTTTTGCTTCTGTTGAAGCTGACACTGGGAAACTGTACTTAGCTTCTGAAGCTACTGATATTGTCTTCAAGTACATTGAGAAAGAAAATCTGGTGAAGCAAACAAACAAAGCCGTTGTGGTACTAGATGCAACTTTGTGTGATGCATTATTTAAGGGATCCATCAAGAAAGGATCAACATATCCTGCTGAGATCCACAAGAAAGATTTAGGTGCAAAATTTATAAGCCGGATGCCGGCCCACCACATTGTGACAAGAGGAAGTGAATCTGTTGTACGGAAAGGTGCTTTGAAAACAGTTCAGATAGTGACTGAACGAAGGCAAGGCAACAAAAAGGTGACAAAAGTTTCAGGTTTAGAAACTTTCCTTATAGGTGCAGAAGCATTGGCATCAGAGTTGCAGAAGAAGTTTGCTTGCAGTACAACAGTGGCAGAATTGCCAGGTTAGTTTTATGCTTTATTTTTTCTGGTATATGATCATATTGCTTGACCGGTATAGAAATAGTAGAGCTATTCATGAGCTTGGCTACCTGCCCACACTCAAGGGCAATTATATGTAAGGATTATTATTAGGTACACTGCCAGTGAAAAGTAAAAATTTCATAAGCAGGGTTTGAATAGCTGCAAGTGTCCCTCTATATTTATCTTTAGATTCTAAAAGATACTTCAATGGACTCTTTTCATTGTCCTGGCCTTGCTTTTATAATTTTTTACTTTCTACTAGCAGTCTACATATAACTTAATGCATCTCCCAAAATCTTCCGGTAGGGCTTTATTGGGTGATTACCTTTCTGGCATCTCTGCTTGCACCATGTTTCATCAAATTACACATTGTCAACATTTTGCCTTGGCTTCTCTCATGATCAATTATTTCTTTTAAAATATCAAAATCAGCAGTGCGTTTGGTGGTCACGTTTCACATATTATTAACATTCTTTCATACCTATCTTAAACCTATTAATTATGATTTGAACCAAAAAAAAAGAACTCTAACATGAAGTCAATTCAATTTGACCTAAAGAAGTTAACAACCTGAACTTGCCCCAGTCTAAACCAGAAACAATTCTTTACTTGAATCTCAAAATGGCTCGAACATGAGTCAACCTTTGGAAAGTTAAAACCAAAACAATGTTTCTGTTTCTATGTTATCCTCTTTACCTCAATTTACTTGCATTTTAAACAAGCACATGAATGCAAGATACTTCATATTTGCACTATTTATGTACTTGGATTTGTGTTGTAGGTAAGAAAGGGCTCGAGGTTCTTATCCAAGGTGGTGTGATTGATGATGTTGCAAGACATCTGCTTGAACAGTATGGAATTCCGAAGAGATACATTGAAGTTCTTGATAAAACCAGGAAATAAGAAAGTGATAAATGGTTAGTTTCTCTTCTATCAAGTATTATGTCACCCTTAACTTGTTAGGACAAAGTTGTTAAGGTTGGTGCTTGTGTTGTTTATCTATTTTGTCAGTACTGATTGCATGTTTCATTTACTTCCTTTACCAACTACTTATGATGATGATGAGGATGATTACGATAATAATTGGAAGTTGGGGCTTATTTGTTAGCATTAAACACTAATATTTAGAACCGAGTATTCATTATTTATCAACTTTAAATACCGGAGCTTTTGGTTAATATAACTAAAATTTCTCAGTGCAAAATTGCAAATAATAATAAAATGAGGTTTCTCACCACTTTTAGCGACAACGTTGCTCCTCCCATGCTTCTATTGCCACAATATTGTATCATGTAATTAGAGAGTTCTCAAAAAAAAAATCTTAATATCCAATTCATATATATGATTGTAGCAATATGCTCATTTAATACAACGAACATCTCTAATTTGCCACCTCTTGATGCAAGATATATTAGGAATTTTGTGCATCTATATTTTTCTACGGAGATACGTCACTCTGCTAATCTATCAATATTTTTATGTATTCTTCTAAAATAATGTGGTGGCAGAAGGTGATCTGAATGAGTGAAACAATCCCTACCCATCTCAGCCCCCTGCATTTGCCACTTTTTGATGTAAGGCAAGTTTAGGGAAAAAGAAAAGGTGTTGGTATACCCCAGCATGCTTAGACTTTGTGGGAATTTCGGATATAAAGTCGCAAAATAAGAGAGTTGTATTGTAATGTAATATAAACCTTCTTGTTTTGACTAGAAAAGTTGCAGCATAAAAAATGGAAGGAACATGGACGAGCATTGAAGTTAATATTTCATTTAAACCTGTAATGACCTATATATATGCCAGCTTCCAGATTATACCGTAGCCATATGTTCATAGAATTTGGTCTATTCAAAGTCTACTGCACTCGACGGTGGCATTATCATATCATTAATAATGTTTAGAAGGTTTTCCCATTGATGGTGCGTCTACATTGTTCTAAGCACCAGTGCTAAGATATGTTATCACCCATTTAATTAATACTATGGCTTCAGAGTTTAGCAAAATAGATGGAGTTATGCATTGAATGCTTTCGGCTTGTGAGGTCTGTGTATGCTAACATTGATGCCTGTTGTAGTGTCTGACAGAAGGGTGTTAAATGCAAGTTTCTACTTGAAGGTTGTTTTTAAGCACTCTTTGTTGCTTGAATGGAAGTTGATAGTGATATCTTTGCACCTTTAGTATATATCCATATGTCGCATTATTTATTTACGGGGAATGAAAACTCGAATTGATTAGGAAGTTGGTAGTCTTTCCAGGTTGGCGAGTTGATATAACAGATGGTATAGTTAGCAGAGTTTTGGTGTCAAAATCTCTCGGGAGGATCACTGTGGCGCTTGATGCAACTGCAAAGGGGCTTTGATCATATTTTTGTGATGAAATACTTTCAATTTAACATTCTGCTTAGCTTAAGAACAGACAGTCTCTTAGGCCCTGTGTTACTAAAATAAAAATTTCAGTGGCTTGCATCGTTTGCTATTTGTACTCGACTCCGTCTCTTTTTGTTTTACAACATCAACATGAATGAATGTCATTTGAGGTTTGATTATTATTGGACATCTTTTGAAGTAGTCGTTTGTTCTCTGTAATTTGAACAGTTTCTTCTGCACGTGGGTTACGTGTATACAAGTTTTTCAATTATTATATAAAATGTTTAAAAAAAATAAATTGAATAGTTGTGTAATATTAAACTTTATTGTTCATCAATATTAATATCAATTGATAAATAATTCTTTGAATATATAAATATAAAGTATTTGAAGAATAGAAACAAATTCAATTACATACGCTTATTCAAAAACATAATAAAAAAGTAGTTATAAAATATGTTAAATATATTTTTATTTTATTTAATTAATCAACTTTTAGTATATTCAGATTACTCTATTAGGTGGTTCTTTAATTATTTTGGAATTGTAATTTTTGTTACATAATTATAGAAGTGTAATCGTAAATAATTAAAGCTTATCATTCTGAAGTTTTTTTTATGGAATTGTAATAATAATTAAAAATAACATAAAATGAATTAGGATCTATGATGTTCCTGGAATAAATTTAAATTAGTAATTTTAGTTACGTCAATTTCATCGTTATGGTATAAACGTGATAATTAAATGGTGCTTATGATAGTTTACAGTGATGATATGATGATTCACAATATTAACATGATTGTTTATGAGTGCTAACATTCATATGTCATGTATTAGATAACCTGATAAACATATTTTATGTTTGAAGTATGAAATTGTATGTCATATTACGTTCTACATGGGGTTGGTCATACAACAAAAAGTTAATGTAATATACTCGTATATTACTACCTGATTTTTTAGTATGCATGTATATTGTTACTTGATTCTATAATACGAATATCTATTGTTGCCTATTGGAGAAATAAAATAATTATGAGTTTCAAGGAACTCTGTGATAATTAATGAATATATGAGTAGTTAAGGACTTGTTATGCATTTTAATACGCTTCTATAATGCTATATATCTTTTCTAGAAAATTCTTGTTCTAATTAATTTGAAAAATAATATTTTGCATTAGTGACATTATTACTTAATTCATTTTATATTTTTTAAAATAATTAAATTCAACCAAAGAAAATATATGTTCATAATGAGCATAATGTTTTTGTACGTTTAAAGTGCTATGAATTTAGATTAACTATTTGAATAGTCTACGACAAGATATTATTTGTTTAGAACCTTTCTTAATTATTAATAAAACACAATGCACATACATAACTACTTAAATCCAGAACCTTAAAGTAAGATAATAATCCTTTTAATTATTAAGGCCACTTGATGGGTTCTTAGATGAAATATTTTTTAAAATCAACTTTTAAATATTAATGAAAGGTAAATTTTGACTTGCATGTCTGTGTTCTTAATTATTAATTCATTTGTTTGAACATATGTAATTACGATTATTTATATATATTTAAAATTTTGATACCTCAGTGGTTAGTGGTTGAAGATAATGTTATCAGTCAATTTTACACATGATATACTTCTTGTACGCATACAAACCAATAAAAAAATTGAACAAATATAATTAATTGCGCATTATTACGTTTATTATAAAATTAAAACCAAGAACATTCGATTGGCAATAATTCGAATTACAGTAAAAAAAAAGTAGTAACTGGCTTTTTATAATTCTAATAATAAGTAAAATTAAATAGAAATGAGACGTACAGCCAGATATAAGCTGACTTTCGTCACATCACAACGAAATTACAGTATTAACTCCTGCCCTATTCACTCGTATTTCTTTTAAGATCTTCTCCCATTACTTCTCTTCACATTTGTAAAACCGACTCGTTAGTCACGAAAATCATATATGTAAACAATGATTTAAAATGTATTGAAAAGTAATAAATGGAAAGAATCTGGACCCATTTCAATTGAAAATATATGGCCTTAAATGGTCAACTCAACTCTCCTCTTTAAGTCTAGTTCAGCAAACAAAACCCGGTTAGACAAACCCACAAAGTTGCTTAGAATTACTGCTCTTCTTTTCTTTTTCTTTCTCTTCCTTCAATCAGAATATTATCCTAACTCCTATAACATGAATTTTCTACATCACCATATCAGCAAAGCAGCACATTAATAATGAAAATAGCAGAACAGTCTTGAAAGAAATTTTCTACAGACTTACAAGTCATCTAGGCTACCACTTGTTGCGCTTTCTCTTGTATGTGGGATTACACAGGTACCCGTTTGCCCTGGTTTCCGTCTAACCACTGCACCGAGAAAAAAAATGAGGGAAAATGTTCGTTCAATCATTTCCTTAGAAACACCTTCAACACTAGATAAAAAGAGGAGTCACATATCTTGACGCAGGAGCATAATTTTGTAGAACAATTTTATTTTTATAGTAGTATTTATTAATTATTATATTTATTATAGAAAGCTAAGGCTGGGGCTGTTAAGTACTTTAGATTTAGGGTTATGATTAAACTTTGCTTGCAAGAAAGTTGGCCTATATAAATGAGTTGTATCCTTTACGGTCAAAACAATTATCCTTATTATTTTCTTTGAATTAATAGAAAACAATAGGTTTTTCCTTAACCCTAAAATTTTCTTGAGTTCCATCTTTCCCATTCGTAGTTTTACTATTTTATTGCTGATTTTCTTCTTAACCATCATATCAACTGTGATTCAAGCCATTATGATCCGGAACTTAGCAACCATTCAGATACAAAAGATGGTTAAATGCATATCATCTCACGAGGTTTTCACATGTCAGCAACGAACACAACAAACAACTTACTTTGAATCTTAACCATTTAATTAATAAATTTTCCATCATTCCTCATTCCATTCTTCATACCAAGCAAAGCCCAAGTGCATTCTATGGGAGAAAATTGGCACCTATAGAAAAAGAGACCGGGAAGCTGTCTGCAAGAAAAAGTACTTTCTTGCAGATGGTATAAAAAGACTGAACATTGTTATTGTCAATAGACTGATTATTCATGCTTTCAGGTCATTGCCAATTAAACTGTGTATTGTGTACAAAGTTTTAATTTGTTAGTCTATATACATTCCACCAGCTCCATTTTCTGCCAGCAAAGTCTCGGGTAAATACTTAAGATCTATATCTGTATGACTGAAACCAGAGTTGCACTGGAAGGTTCCTTTTCAGTATGTTGCAGGCTTATAAATAGGGCAAATATGGGTTTCTCCCACAATCTAAACCATCTTTATCCATCTATATAAAATAGGGTTTTAAGTATGTGAACTTAAGGTTTAGACAGTGTTCAAGTTTTCTTTCATACTCTCAGATAACTAAAGATAACAATCTCTAGCCTTTTAAAATTTAAAACTGTTTTAGGATGCTTTTAATATTTTGCACAGAATTTGAACCATGCAACCAACCAACCAAGAACTAACAAATTTATAGAATACAAGCATGTTATTCCAGCAAACAGTTTATAAAAAAAATTTACTTGACTTTCAAACTAAACATACCGATCGGATAAATGATTGCTGGAAAAGCCAACCAAGAATTGGTATCCTCTGTATAAACACTGACAATGTCGGCCAAAAGCCACTGAAAAAGGAAAGGAAAAAAAGGATGGTAAATGAGATGTTCAAATATCATGCACTGATTTATAATAAGCGAAAATAATTAAAGTTTCATTTAGACCTGAAGAGCACAATAAATCCATATGCCTCCAATATCATACCGAGGATGGGCCAACCAATGACAACAAAAAAGAAGCCAACAAAAAATGAAATTGTTCCCTGTATTCAATAGCAACAGATGATAAAAAAAATGAGCAATGAGTGCATAATGTGTGTGTGTGAGAGAGAGACAGGGAGAGAGAGAGTGAGTGAGAGTGATACCTTAAAATTTTGGCGCTTCATGAAAAATTGCATTGTGGATTTCAGACCAATGGTTAAGGTCACTCCTGATATGAAAAGGATCTATTTTAAAAGAAGAAAAAATGTGTTATTTAAGCATTGACTCGAGGGGAAAATGAAACAGTTTGGAATTGAGGTCAGTTAGCTTACATTTCCCATGGCAAGCAATCCCTTGTCGAAAAAGAAGATAATTCCCAAAATTGAGAAAAATACGCCAAATCCCGTTAATCCTAGCCCAATTTCTGTTTTTCATGGTGTCACGTAGTAATATGATGAAGGTTAATGGTATAAAACAAACAAAAAAAGTTGTTCATTCAACTTTCTTTTATCAAAATATTAGTGAGAAACTAAGTTAAAAGCCTCCAATTGCCAAATTCATGTAAGTCACAACTTCTACTTGACTCCAAGCATTTTCTATCTCAACAATTCACATAACTAATCAATATACTTTGTTCAGAAAACATGCTTAGTTTAAACTAAATGATTAGATTTTCAGAGAACCAGAGTAAACTAAATAGTCGATGGTTCCATATACCCATTATCTGAGGTGTTGGTAGAAGTTCTATTTACCAGAAATCATCTCATATATTATTTACATATTATAAGATCATTCTAAAATTCTCCTAGGAAAATTCCATAATCCTAAATGGTCTTCAATTGGCATCTCATATACAAAATCCAAATGCTAGAGGGTTTATCACTTTGTATTCCTTAAGCAATATCATTGTAAGCACCATCGAATGAGCATGATGCACAAACTTCACCAACAATAAAGTGAATACAAGATTAGAGCAAATAATTGGAACTGCATTCTGTTGAAATACCTCATTTATTGAAAGAACGAGAGTATTAAAGCTTAGCAGTTAAAAACATAAATTACCCCCTCAAATCATTCCCGAATAGCATCAATGTAAAATAATATGAAACATTGAAAGAAATTTTCAGCTAAGCAACAGTTAGAAACACGTACATGCATAATAACCTAAAAGAGTCAGTAGAGTGCATATAATACCCAAGTCTTGCTACACGTATTTCCCTAGAATTTCAAGGGATCATACCAAATCACCAGAACTCTCAGAAAAACAATCACGAATTCATAGAAGCATTAATTGAATGGAAGAAACATCAAAATTAAAAAAAAAAACAGCATAGGAGCTCTACTCTTTCGATCGCTCATTTCAAAGGAAACCATCGTGCTGGTTATTCAGATGCTTGTTGCCTACAAAGAGAATAATAATGAAAATATTGAATCAAGTTCAAATCAAAACACTGAATATTTGAATTCGTGTGAAACAATACAAAAGAGAAAACAGAATCCAACAGTCAAAATACGGATCTAAAAAAACAGAGCGAGCACATCATAAAAGGGAAAGAATTTAATCTGAAAGTTCCGTTTCCTTACCGAGAGAAAATAAAAGGAGGAGCCCAGGTCCGTACGCTTTCTCGGTAATCAAGACGGAGAGACGAGAACTGAGAGAGCGAGGTTTCTTTGCATCGTTTTGAAATGAAAAGAATCGAATGAAATGAAAAGAAAAATAATGTAACAGCGTTGTTTTGCGTTGCGATGCGATTATAATAAACTGTGCCCGAGTTGGTAATTTAGGTTGTTATTTTGTTTTGGGTAATGTACACAAATGTTCCTTCAATTAATGGGTATTGCTTTGCTGAGTCCCATGACTACTAAAGTTACAAAATGGTCCCCTAAATATAAGACGTTTTGTTGAGCCTCCGGCTATTAAAAGTTAAAAAATTGTCACCTAATTATTCATATGTTCCAAAGTCATTTTTTTCATTAAAAATTTGACATCCGTCTGAGTTAGACATTAACCTGCTGACTAAGATATGATAAAATCATATTTTAATGATTTCTACTAACAACACCGTTGCTTTTAAGCAGTGGCTTGGCGGTATAATGTAAACGGATATCTGATCCATAAAATGCAGTTTAAACGATTATGATATCATATTTTATCATATCTCAATCAACATGTTAACGTCCATCTCAGATGACCGCCAATTTTTTAATGAAAAATGATGAGTTTGGAACATATAAATAGTCGGGTAACCATTTTGTAACTTTTAATAGTCAGAGGACTCAACAAAGCAACGTCCTATAGTCAGATGACCATTTTGTGACTTTTAATAATTAGGGGACTCAACAAAGGATGTGATTAGCATATACTTAAAGTTTGGGATGAAATTGAAAAATTCAAAAAAAGTTTGGGGGCCAATTTAGAATGAAGTTCATAGTTTGAGGATGGAAATAAAATGTACAAAAGTTTGAGGACTAATTTAGAATGATAGTTATAGTTTAGGGATAAAATTGAAATGTTTAAAAGTTTATAGATAAATTCAAAATAAAAATCATAATTTGACGACTGTGATGCAATTACCTCTTATAATAATTATAAAACATATAAGAATCTAACAAAAACATTAAAAGTTCATGGTTTTAAAAAAATCTCATTAATTTTATTCATTAAAAAATATAAAACAATTATAAGATGTATTCAAAAATTTTATGCAAAAGCAAATAATTTTAACAAATTGACCTTGTAATATAAAATAAAAAAAACTACTCTCGCCTATAAATAAGAGGATATTAAATGCTTTTTAAGAAATATGATAATTAAATAAATATATATAATGATTTAAATTTCTGATTCAATATATGAAAGTTGACGTGTGAAATATACGGATCGACTTAAGAGAACAACTAAATTTGTTAGGTAAGTTTAGGTCTTATTGAGAGAGAGTTGGGTCTATTTAGAACTTTAAAGGGAAGATATTTAAATTGAGAGCAAATAAGAAGGGATCAAAAGAATAATTAAACCATTAATGAAAAGCATACCTTATTACCCATGAATTCCTTTTGTATCACGCGGGGAAGTAGAGTGAAAAGATATTCACCAATTCATATGTTATTTTACTCTTCATTCTTACATCTTCCTCTTCCTCAAGTCTTGGGACTCTAATAGCTGAAAGGAACAATCTTTACATTAATTTTGAGGGATTCAAGATCAAGAAAGATTAAATTCATCTCTAAAAAATTATGAATTTTAAAATGAATCATATTTCACCCATTAAAGATACATGAGGTGATAAAAGGTTCTGTGAGGGTTTAAACCTCTGAAACATTCTAGGCTTGATTCATGGTTTTTTGTATTTCTAGGGTAACATATATAAGCCCAAAAATAAATAAGCAAAAATCTAGCCCAAAGTAAAGAAGGTCCAAATGACCAGAGCCTAAATCTGAAAATTCAACCCAAATTCAAATGAAAGAAATGAAATGAAATGAAATCTTAAATTCGAAGTCCAAAATCGATATCCATAGACGATAACTTGATTTGAAATTCAAGTTAAAAATAGACTTTAATTTAGTAGATAAGATCAGATTATTTTAGAAATATTGTTTTAGGCTCGGATGAAATTCGATGTCTGCATATGATGAAGTTATAAAGTCTATTAACGCTAGCTTTTGGAGAGATGTTATAAATGATGAATTATAATCATTCATTTCTAATCACACATGAGAATCGATAAACTTGTTCAGAAAATTTAGACCGATCGATAATAAATGTGTTTTTAGAAAGAATATTATACTAGATGAGTCAATACAAAAATATAGTGCAAGATTGATAGTTAAGAGATTCTCTTAAAATATGAAATAAATGTTTCGATACCTACTTTCATGAGACTAATATCTCAACCATTTATTCCTTGTTTAAATAAGTTTCCATTTACTTATTGTAAGAAAATCATATAAATGTAAAAGCTACCCTTTTGAATGGAGATATGGATGACTCATTTCATCACTATCAATTATTCAATTTGTATCATAAAATACCTCAAAAACTTTATGATATCTGAAAATTTCTAATTTTCAATTAATTGTATCTTTAAGATAAATAAGCGTCTAATGAGCACTTCAATACTCACTACATAAGTAATATCAAACCAAATATTATTTATTAAGAACATTAAATTTCTAATAATTTTAATATATTCTGAGTAATATTGCTTCCTTTATTCTTTAAATCGAACATTCAACTAAGCTGTATAATCTATAATACGCTATTATACATTCTTCACGTAACTTTTCTCTAAGAGTCGTGAAATTATTGAGAAATCAATACCATAAGAAAACAAAAGCAAAAAGGTGCATCTGCTAGAACGAAACGTGATAGCTTAATTATGAGACTCGACACTTGTATTATGTACGCAAACGGTGAATTAATTCGAAAATAACCAATGACGTCTGAAGTACGCATGGTATAAGATGTGCACACATCATACGCCTTATCCACAAATACATGTAATGCAGCACACCGGACAAGCTCCAGCACCATAGTTTGACCAACAACGTGTAGCCGCCGCCCATGAATTGAATACATCCACCGCATTAAGTGCCATGGCCGCCCCCACACTTATATAAACTCTTTTTGTTCACACAACAATTCCACTTCCATTTATCGCAAACCATGAAGAACCTTTCTTCCTCACTCTCACCATTCCTTGTTTTAATCATTGCCGTCTATTTTATCAAGATCGCTTCAGCTACCTGTCACGTGGATGATGAAGCGGGTCTCTTGGGCTTCAAATCGGGTATCACCCAGGACCCGTCTGGCATGCTCAGCACATGGAAACCGGGTACTGATTGTTGCAGTTGGGCGGGTATAAATTGCCTTTTCGAGGATCGGGTCACAACCATTTCTCTATTCGGCCAACTTGATGAATCCAACAGCTTCTTGTCGGGTACGATCTCTCCTTCCCTCTCAAAACTCCAGGATCTAAACGGTATATACTTCCAAAATCTAAGAAATATTTCGGGTCCTTTTCCGGATATCCTTTTCGGGTTACCCAAACTTACTTATGTTTACATCGAGAACAACAAGCTTTCGGGTCAAATACCTGTGAGCATCGGTCGGTTAACCCAACTTGAGGCACTGAGTCTTGCTGAGAATCGGTTCACTGGACCCATACCGAGTTCCATCTCTAAGTTGAATCGGTTAACTCAGCTAAACCTTGGCAAAAACCTTCTCACCGGCAAGTTCCCCGAAGGAATCAAACAGCTTAGGAATCTTACCTACTTGAATTTGGAGCAAAACAAACTTTCGGGCACCATTCCAGACATTTTCAAATCATTCCCCGACCTTAGAATTCTTTCACTTACTCGTAATGCATTTTCCGGGAAAATCCCAGAGTCAGTATCGTCTCTAGCACCGAGATTGATGTATCTTGAGCTGGGCCACAATGCTCTCTCAGGGCAAATTCCAAGTTTTCTTGGGAATTTCAGGGCATTGGACACTTTAGATATTTCATGGAACTCATTCACGGGAGTAGTACCTAAAACCTTTGCAAACTTAACCAAAATTTTCAATCTGGACCTCTCTCACAATTCTCTAAACGACCCTTTTCCCCAGATGAATGTGAAAGGGATAGAGTCACTGGATTTATCGTACAACAACTTCCATCTGAAGCAAATCCCGAAATGGGTCACATCATCTCCTATAATTTATTCACTCAAGCTTGCAAAATGTGGGATTACAATGAAGTTAGACAACTGGAAGCCGGCAGAAACTTACTTTTATGACTTCATCGATCTATCGGAGAATGAAATCTCAGGTAGTCCTGTTGCATTATTGAATCGAACAGATTTCTTGGTGGAGTTTAAGGCGGCCGGGAATAAATTGAAGTTTGATTTGGGGAAATTGAGGATCGTTGAGACACTGAAAGAGTTGGATATATCTCGGAATTTGGTGTACGGCAAGGTCCCTACGGCGGTGATTGAGTTGAAAAGATTGAACGTAAGTTATAATCATCTGTGCGGCCAGCTTCCCAAGACCCAATTTCCTGTTTCTTCAGTAGTGGGAAATGATTGTTTGTGTGGATCCCCGTTACCTCCATGCAAACTGTAGTTGGCTACCAAGTGTTTGTGGAAATGCCACTGAAGTTATTAATAATCAATAAAGGTGTTCGAAGAAATGTGACTGCTGAAGATCAAGATCAATAAAAGTTTGCAGTACTGCTTTTGCAGCTAAGATTTTGTTTTTGATATGTAGTACTCTTTGCTTTTGCGGAAAAATAATAATAAAATAAAATATCGCATAATAAATTCATCATTAGTGCTATGTTAATTTAATATATTAAAATAAGAATCAACTTAACCTTTCATATTTAAGAATTCTATTATTTTAGTCGTCTCTTGAGATATTATCAAACAAAACGAGTCCATCAGATCGAAGCAAAAGTTAGATAATTATATTCCAACATAAAGCAATCACGTTACTAGTGAAATCCCTCAAATTTTAAAATTCAACGAATATTTGTATGATTAAGCAAAGACTATCTTGCAGTCTTACAAAGTACTTGTGCCACAAAATCTATGACTCACATGGAACGACAATAGATTCTATAGGAAATATTTTGTTAATTCTCCTACTTGGTGTCTCACATATAATAATAAATATAGTGGACATGTTAGTAACATTAAATATCATATAAGATACTAAGAGCAATTTTAAGTAATATGGAATAAAGACTAAATTGATTAATTTTTTAAAATATAAAACGTAAAATTTGTTGAATTGTTTTGAATTAAGATCAAAATAATAGAATGTATAAGTTTTAGAGACTAAAATTATTATTGTATATGACCATATTAGACCTTATTCCATTTTAATTATAAAATAATTTATTTTTAACAATAATTTGATTGAATTATTAAATTAATTTTTTTATTTCAATGCGATTAATTTATAACTGAATTAATAATTAAATGACCTATTATCCTTCGAATTTTGATTCAATGGTCTTAAACGGGTATAATTTTTGTTATAACATGTGATATAACTTGTTGGTGGATCCTTTCATTTTCTCTATATATAGCCTCTCCCACTGTAAATATTTAAGTGAATTCCTTTCATATGTATTAACTCTCACATCAGATTTCATATTTTTAACTTTGATGAAAATATTAATTAATATAGATGGACCGAGTGGAGCTAGGTAGGGATATTAACCCACTTGAAAATTTAAAATTAATATATATCTTAATTTTATATATATATTTTTTATTAAAAATCTATTTTTTACGCCTTTAAAATTTTATAAGTCCCTTCATGAAATCTTAGAAATTCACCGCAACCTAAACTGATGCGCTCATTCCTACCTATCAAATCCTATTATAATAATTAAATTAGTTTAACTTATTTACTATTAAATGAATCAGTTCAATTATAAAATAAGATATTTTTTTTTACAAATGCCAGTAACTTTGTAACATAGTTAATATTTTTATTGGTTAAATGGTTCTACAAATATTTGTCTGTAGAGTTAAATGTGAATATGAAAAATTAATATCATTTTATCATATTAAATACTAAATACGTAATAGAAAAATAATTTTATTTAATAATTTATTATTATAAAAAATACGTTGATATATTTAATAATAAATAGATTAATTTAAATCAATAATTAAAAAAGATTAAATCGATGAATTTAATAATAGAGATCCGATCACCATCCTTTTAGCTTTCCAGAATCAACCCTCAAATTTTAGGTGATAAACCTAACAGTTCTTTGGAAGAAACCTAACAGCTGGTCAAAAACAAAAGAAGAAGAAGAAGAAACCTAACAGTCTTACATTACAAAGAAAACTAACTCGGTTTGGACTGTGAAGCTGAATGGTTGTTGTTTTGACTTGGATTTGATATCTCAACTCTGTTATCTATGGTTTCCTTCTTACTTTCCTTCATATTCTCGAAGGAGGCTATGATTGTTCGTGGTTCAGTCCAAGTGTTGGAGGTTTTATCATTTAGTAAAAAAGAAATGGAGACGACTCACTCCTCTCCACCGTTCGACTCTTTTCTCGATCGAATGCGAAACCCTGCTTCTCTCGATCTTGTTCGCTCCATCAAGAGGTTTCTCTCGAGTTTCTTTTTAAATTTATAATTTATTTATTTTTTAGGGTTTTCTAAATGAATTTCTCTTATGTTTTTGCTTATATATGTAAGAACCAAGAAAAATTGACTTGCCAATTTCCGTTCGTTTTAGCTTCATTGTATCGTTTTCGTTTAATGCGCCAAACCCTGAAAACAATTCCAAAAGGATACAGGATTTTTTCCTGTCAATGGAAGCTGCTATAAGGGGTCATCCTTTATGGGAAGCCTCCTCTGATGCTGAAATTGACAATGCCTTGGAGGTCAGCTTGCCCATTTGAATTTGCTTTTCGTGTATTTATCCAAGCTATTTCATTCGTGATAATGGAAACTTCTATTTTTGTTCTTGAGAAATGTGTGTGCTACTTACTGCAGGGTCTGGAGAAATATGTGATGACCAAACTACATTCGCGAACGTTTGCTTCCTCTGCTGAGGATGTCAAGATGGATGCAGAGATCTCAGACAAGATATACTTGTTGCAAAACTTTTTGAGGCCTCAACATTTGGACATACCATCCGTACTTCAAAATGAAACTGCATGGCTGGTAGGCCTGTTTTCTTCGGTATTAAATAATTGTGGGAATTTTGTTTGATGATTAGTTTTATTGTTTTGATGTTTAGCTTAGAGTCATACATGATGCTATTTGGTTATGCCTAGCTGCAATGTTAAAACATTTTGTGGGTTTTGTTGAGACTAATTATTTTTAGCCCAACTCTCCTGTTACCTGATTAATTGTCAAATTATAAATAACTTACGCATAAGTTTCACCTAGAAAGTGGCATAACATTTTTCTTCATCGCTTCTTGTAAATGATCAATGGTTCATTAACATTAGAACTGTCTAGATGTACTGCATGAATGAACAATTGTATAATACTTTTCTCCTCAAAAGCCAATAAATCTTATAAAGCATACTTTGTTACACTCTAAGGCTTTGCTTTGGGTGGGTGGAAAAATGGAAGGATAGGAGGGGGTGGAAAATTGTGAAGAAAATAAATTTTGAGCGTGTTCGGTAGGAAAGAGAAGTGAGGGGAAAGAAAATTAGAGGGATGATTATTTTCAATCTTCATGTATGGAAACAGATCATTCCAATTTGGAAGGAAAAGAGGAGAGAAAATGTGAGAGAGATGTGAGTTAGTTCAAAATATGTATTTTCAAAGCTTTTTTTTTTCTCTTATTTCTTTTAAGTCCACCAAACAATGGGTGGAAAGAAAACCGCTTTTTCTTTCAATTTTTCATCATTCCTACCAAGCACCAATAGAAAGAAAAATTAATTTTATCATTCCACTTTTCAACCCCTTTAATTTACCCTTCTTCCAATTTTATTTCCGCTCTACCAAGCAAAGCCTAAAAGAGAAAAAAATGATTCTAGATACAATGACAAAATAAAGTTAATTATATCCACTCAACCTTTTTCAAGGGGGAATAATTGGTTCAATAAGTTTTACTTGCTTTTGCAAATCGTAAATTTTCAAAAGTTCATGATTTTTTTTAGATTGGTTCATTCCAATCCCTAAACCCGTGGTTGGTTCTCGAAGCTAGAGATAGTGAACTGGCTATAAACTTTTTTAGTATACGGAGAAAGATTTAATATAGCTTGTGAATGATATCAAATGTGAGTTACGGAATACACACCACCCTCTTCTGCATTTTCTGGTTTTTCTAAAATCTGCATCACATTCCTTTTCCTCACAAAGAATCCTCTAAACAAAATTTCATTGTTTGGCCATTAATGGAGGATTAGATTGTTTTGAGACTTGGTTTGAGTATGATTGTATGGTTCTATTTTAAGTTTTTGTGGGTCATGCCAGTGCACTGGACAATTCATATCTGGACTTTGTCATCTCTCTGCTTGGCTAAGTATTAGTTATGTGATGATTCTTCTTCTTCTTAATAAGTAGCAGTTACATTTTTCCTCTTGTCCCCCAGCTTGCAGAGAAAGAATTAAAAAAGATCAACGCTTTCAAAGTCCCTCGTGAGAAGCTTCTTTGTATCATAAATTGTTGTAGGGTCATCAACAATTTACTGCTCAATGCTTCAATTTCAGAAGATCGTGTTCTAGGGGGAGCAGATGATTTTCTTCCCATTCTTATATATGTTACGATCAAGGCAAGCTCTCCTTGGTAATAAGCCATTCTACCAATCATCATTCTCATCTCAAATTGTGGAGTCCTATTTCTTATATTTTTCAGTCACAAACCCATCATTGCAAAGTTTGATTTATGTTAGATTCAATTTTGTTTCCAATTTAATCATAAAATTTCCAAGAGTTTATGGTCACTTTTCCAGTCCTGAATTTGATTACATTTTGGAACATGCACCATGTTCTATACATCCTGAGAATTCGTATTCTTTTCCTTTCTTCATTCCAAGGTAGGTAAAGGAGTTGCTTGTGTCAATAGTATATTTCTGGTGATTGTATTGAGAAAACCCCAATGCTTCCAACTGTTTTCCATTTTGGCCTAGGTTAGCAGAACATGGAGATACCACTGAAGTTTGAATTGTATTTCTTAATACAATTTCCCAAGTTGATATACCAGAAAATTTCATCAGTTTGGGATTTAGGACATCAATAGCTTGTGCTTTAGGATTAAGCTTTAGCTTTTTTGGCCTAGGATTATTCTTTACTTGTTTCTCATTTTTGGTTACATATGATTTAGTTTTAGTTAGCGTGTTTCATATTTTTCTGCAAAGATTGGACTCAGTATTAAAGGTTGAAGAGTACTCATCCACTCTGTCATAAGGTGTTGGCTTGGTTGTAGATTATTTTGTTGCTTTGAAGATGTTATGATTACCATCTCACTAATGTCAACTAGCTTAATCTTATGGACAGGCCAATCCCCCGCAGTTGCATTCCAACCTCAAGTTCATACAGCTATGCAGGATGCAATCAAAACTCGTCTCAGAGGCAGCATACTTTCTCACAAATCTTGTCTCAGCCAAGTCCTTCATTGTAGACTTAAACGCGAAATCTCTTTCTATTGAAGAAAGTGAATTCGAGGAGAGCATGCAAGCAGCAAAGTTGGTTGATAGAGTACCACAAGAAACCTTAATCACTTTCGATAAGAGATCAGCATTCAGAAACATTACAGATCCTGGTTCATCAATACCAATGCACAAAAAGGCCAACTCTAATATAAATGGTGAATTTTGGTATCCATGATTGATATGAATTCTATCCATACTTATACTCAAGCAAATTTGTGCTGGTTATTCTTTGTTCAGGTGAATTAAACTACCCTTACATGGAAGCTGAGGCTGGTGAATTGACAGTGGGTGACGTGGAGAGGTTATTAAGTTTGTACAAGGATGTGGTAACAAAATATACCAGCTTGTGCAGCACTGTTAGACACCTCTCTGTTTCCAAGACGGTTTCTCCCGTTCCACAAGGAAATGATGATGACTTGTTGAGAGGGTCTAACGGAACACACAAAGATACTAGTTGTAAAGGAGACTGAAAGTACATTATACAGCAACACTTTTTTGCAATTGTTACCAGTTCGTTTAAATATTCACCATCTAAATCAAATATTTCTTAATTTCATTAATATATATGTTCAGAGTGCAGCATACCAAAAAGGGGTGAGACAAAAAAATCCCTATACTAACAATCTCACCTTTTAAGCCATTTACATGTTTTTACACAAATACAGACTACTTGGATTCATCTAACTGTCAAGGTATTAGTAATTTTAAGATTATTGTTACTAAGAAAGTTTCTCCTACAATAAGTGTCAAGTTGAGCAAATTTTCTACTTTCTATTCCAGAATTTGTAATGCTTAAAGATTTGCCATCTGCACATCTCATGCATATGAACATTGAAGGTATTGCGTCAGCATTGTCAGTTCCAGCACATCTTGTGTGTTGCCAAACACCACACTTATCACAAGCCAACATTCTCTCACCATCATCATCCTTTGCTCCACAACTACAGTCCACTGTCCAATTTTCTGTTCCCCTCTCCATTCGAAACCGGTTGAGGCCATGTTTTGATGTACATCTGCCTTGTACACGAACTGATCCAGTTGTGCCAACCAATAATTTAAGAGTCATGTTGTCCTCCACAGAACCAAAGTCAAGTATTTTCTCAACTTGAAGCCTCTTAAACATGGCATATACTTCTTCAAAAGCTTTTGTAGCTTCAGTTTTAAGGTCAACAATGGTAGCATTAAGAGGTAGAACAATCAATTCAGGAGGAAATGGATCTTCTTTAGCAGCATCAGAAAGCTCTAAATGACACCAAACATGTATAGCAAAGGGATTGTAAACATTTGGTTTGTAGTCTTTCACAAATTGCTTGCAATCAAGAAGCTTAGTGGCCAAATCAATCACACATTCCCTTGTAGCACGAGGCTCGTATGTCGACTTGGTTTTAGGGTCAAACAAGTAATCAAAAATATATTTCAGATCTCCCTTGATGTGCTCTTCTGATGGGAAATTTGAGTCCAAGCTGGTTTCATAGTGCAAAGAACAAGGTGACTGAAGCCTATTGCCATTGAAATGAGACATACGTTAGTTTCAAAGATGTGGCAAACAAGAGATGGTAACAAAACCAAAGTTAAACTTTCTCACCTGAACTCAATATCACTGGAGTTTCGATTGCAACGTGCCTCAACAACCTTCCCGTTAACTGCCAGTTTCCCACTCAAGTGTTTAAGGCAGTAATCAAGTAGTTCAGGGGAGGCTGACTTGCACAGGGCACCCTTAAGAGCACGCCTAGTTACCCAGTTAGAACCTGCAGCAGCAGCCATGAGCACTTTAATCATACCTTGCTGCAATCTCTCAACATCATTCCTTGTCCATGCACACAAGATATTTGAAGATTCCAACATTTTAGATGTTTTAGGCATTAAGGTCTTCTGGCTTTCAGTCATCAGTCTTGAGAGGAATGAAAACAATTCCTTAAATGTAGAAAGTTCAGAACACGATAAGGACTGATAAAAAGCAATGATGTTCTGAAGGCGCATTCGGGACTTGTTCCTTTGAAAAAGAAGTGTGGATAAGGGCATGTTTGAAAGGTCATTCACTGCTTTCTTGTAAGCCTCTCGTGTAAGGGCATAGCTTCCCGATCCAAACTCATAACCCCAGTTACCATACCAAGAATGACCTCTGGTAATTGCATGAAGTAGCCTATATTCTATGCCATATTTCTTCGATACATCCATCACAGTTACCTTCCTGTTCAGCAAAAATAATAAACAGAATCCACTGTTATGAAAAAGAAACTCTTGACTGATTTGAGCTTGTTTGTGTTAACAGGTCATAAAAAAGACGCATGGACACAGTAACAGCACTAAAGGCATGCGCATCTGCTAAGGAAGCAGAAAGGGGTAATATATAAAACATAAGGCTGTATCTTTTCCTTTTCTCTTTGCCATCTAGACAGGATTCAAGTAAAAATTGGCCAGATTGAACTACAAAACAGCAATAATATCCGATTGTCCTCTCTATGCCTGATATCTACACGTAGCGATAGATATACATGTTTTAGAAACTCATCTAAGTATATAGATATATCATCTTTAAAGGTCTTACGAAAAGATGAGTTATCACAACATTAGAAGACCCTTAAATTTAACTGTTACATATAGATATAGTTGTGTAAATATCAAAACTCTTTCTCCATTTATATTTTTACTTTCAACATTCTTTACATATTTGTCTAATGCTTAGTAAAAATCCCAAACAAGAACGGTGGATTCATAGAATTGATAGAAATTTCAGAAATAAATAAAAATGATTAAGGTGGCGTTCAAACCTGACAGAGAGAAGACTGCATAGTCTATCCCAGAAGTTCATGATGTGAAAACCAGAGAGAAATTCGGAGCCTCCTTCTATACCATTGACAACGAGAAGATGTCCATAACCATTGGAGTGAACAACTCCATGCAGCAAATGAGTGTTATTGTCTTCCAACAGTGAATACCCCCATTCTTCAACACCATCTCCTTTGTTACAACACTTGCATCCCCTGTGTCATTAACATATGAATCAATCCCCATAAATGTTTCAGATGTTACTGTCAGAGGCAGGTTTTGAAAAAGAAAAAACCCAAAACTTTTTTTTTTTTAAGAAGGGAGCTGTGACCTTGAATCCGAGTTATGGAGGGGATTGGCGCAGATCGCAATATCGCAAGATGACTTTATTATAAAATGATATCTCTTTTTGCAAACTGGATGGCCGCTCCAACCTTTGTTTCATTGTTCAAACAAAAAAGTATCATATATTAATTACACATTTAAGTTTTTTATTCTCTAACAAAAACAATCTTTCGTTCAAGCAACCTTTATTCTCTTACGATTAACTATGATTTTTTATATCAGAATAAAATAAGTCACGTTCAAGTTGTTTTATTTTTGACGTTGTTTGTTCTCTGTGCACTAAGAAAAAACTTTTCGTTAGAATTATTGAGTTCTAGAATTAAGTAGACCTATCTTTCCTCTTAAGGAATTTGTTTAGTTTGGTTGGTTTAAACTTTCCATCATATAAAGTAGACTCGACCCGAACTAGGTGGGGAAAGCGAGTCAACTCACCGACTACACGGCACTGGTCGCAATACACAGATCTAGAGGATCTGGTGACGTCTTCCTCGATGACATAAAGCGCCACCACGATCGGGGAGGAATCGCGAGCGCCCGTACCAAAATCGCCAACCACAAACATGGTCTGCCACGTCATCAGGCATGGAAGGACAGACGATGGGAAGTCGGTGGCGAGGCGGGCGTTAGCGGAGAGGAAGGTCCGAACAGCGTCGCGGAAAGGCTTCCCGGAAGCGGAGGCGGTGACAGCGGGGGAAGGGAAAGCAAAGAAATCGGAGAGGTCGGCGGTGATTCTAGTAGACCTGCGACCCCTCTTGAGTGGCCTGGTTGTGCCCTGATTCTGGACCATTGTTTGGATTGGAGGCAGTGAAAGAGAGAGAGTGGTTAGTTAAAGGAGGGAAGCCGTAGAATTGGAGTAGTTCTAGGGTTATTGCTGATTTGGTATTTCTGTTTTGGAGGGAGACTTTGGCGCTTCTTTCCTTTTTAATCTTTGTTTATTTAATTCTCTGACACCAATATCAAAACTCAACTCGACCCATTAATTCACTAACCCAATCCAATTCGAAATCAATCCGAGTCCGACTCACACGTAATTCTTTTACTTAATGCATCTTTTCTCCCTTAAAGTGTTTGTGAATTGTGATATTTATAATTCTTTTCTTAGAACAATTTCTTAATATTTTATATTGTTCTCTAAATTATCTCAAAAAATTAATTTGCTTAAATAATTTATTTGTTCTAAAGTAGTAATTTTTTATTTTTGTTTTTTTAAATTATTACTTTGAAAATTTCAACAGTATTTAAAGTCATATTTCTTTTTCTACCTTTTTCTTCTTAATTTTTCAAAGTGTAAGTACATCATTTCTTTGTTTTTAATTTCATTATTTCATATGGTTGACTCGTTAAGGTAAGTATGATGATCATGAGCACGATAAGTTAGCATGTAAGCATGTGTGTACGCTCTATTTTGATGCACTAGTTTTATGTAAAATCATCTAATGGTAGAAAAGATCAACCTCATCATAGATTGTTCTTATTTACTCACTTTCAAAATTTACATTAAATAAATTACAATATTTTTTTTTAAAAAAAATTATCAATTTGCTCAATTTTAAAATCGATAAAAACTTAACGGGTATTTAAACAAAAAATACTTGCGCTAACTAACTATAACTTTAAAATGTTCCTTTATATAATAGAGGGGCTAAAATAAACTTTTAAATATAGTACAAAGAATTCCAATATACCTTAACCCCTTAAAAACAAAGGAAAAGAAAAAAAATATTAAAATATCAATAATTTCACATTTGGAACAAAAATATATTAAATTAATAAAAATTTTATTTTAGTGGAAAAAACAAAATGGAACAATATTTGAAACTGGAGGTTATTTTTTAAAATTAAAATAAATATATAAATATTGAAGATTAAATTTGTTATTATATCACTTTTATTAATTATCACAATAAATTTTCATATAAAAATTAAGGATAAAACACACGTGTAATATCTAAATTACTACTTTTATTACGTTTTAATACCCAAACTTCACCCTTTTTTTTCAAAATCATACCTAAATTTTAGTTTAAATTTCAATTGATACATCTCCCTTAAAAATTAAAAGAAATGTTGACGTGACAATTTTTTATGTTTTCAATGTGATGTGGGATTACCTTATGGTGACATATTAACATCACTGTTAAATTTTTAGAGGCGGGTATCAAATCAAAATATAAACTAAACATTAAATATAGTTTTGAGAAAAATAAAGTTCGGATATCAAAATGAAACAAAAGTAATAGTTTAAGTACTAAACGTGTAGTTAATCCAAAAATTAATAGTCAATGATCATTTTATAATTTTTGATAACTTGAGTGACCAGTTTGTAACTTTTAAATTCGAGAGACTTAACTAAAAGAAACTTAC